AACACTTATTGATTCTTCCGCTTGATGGAACCTCAACCCTCGCAGGTGGCCAACTACCGCCCGACACTTGTTGGTACCTCGAGAATACACCGACGCCACCGACTCTTTCTGGTGAAGGTATTGGCGTTATCTTCGTCGCGTTTGAAGCCGAGAAGAACGGACAATGACACCACTTGAGTTGTACCAGGTGGAATTTTCCATTGTATTACTACGATGAGTTTGTTAGTAGCAGACAGGCTCAGGAATTGATACGTTGGCTGAAGAGGAAAAATCTTCTCGACTATTCACCTCGCCATCTTGCCCAGGAGCAGTGGGCGCCACCTGCCTGGAACTGGTGCGGTCTGGAGGAAAGGTCTGAGTGGCATTAGGAACTGTGTTTGAAGGTACCTAGGTACAAGGGGGAAAGCACAGTCAAAGGCTGGCACAGTATTGAGGGCATCACCATCCGGCGATGAACGCATGTCGGGCACGGGACCCTCGTCCAAACCCTGGGATCGATTCTTTGTAATTCTTTCGGTATCTCTCGTGCTCGATATTTAAATCTCAGTCGTCATTAGATGGGAGACGTCGGTATCCGCCTGATACGCAGGTGAATGTCGCGAATCAGCAGTCCAGTATGACATGATCGCTTTGCACAATTTGGCTCTGGCTCAGGTGCGAATGCTCGCGGAGCCAAATCTAGAAGCTATTAGAGAAACCATCCAGAGCACTATTGTACTCGGCCGGGAGGTCCGTGACCCATGAATCCATGCTCCATATGATTTCCACAACAGAACGTTGGTTGTCCGGTTCACCTTCTCTCTGCAGAGATATCTTCATCCCCTCTGCCAGCAGGACATCCAAGAAATCGGGCATTCGCCTGTAGGGTAAGCTTCTGAAATTGTTTAAATTCAGTCCCAGAATAGCAGAGACCGCCTCACACATATCTAATAAATCACCCCGGTTTTCCGGAGCCTATCCTTGAGGACTTCTTCGAACACCAGATGCTTGATCTCATTGTTTATGGCTCCGTTTGCGAGCTTTGGCGCCGTAGAGATGTGGGAATGGCGTTCAACGAAGTCTGAAACGTCGCTCCTGCGACCATTGGAGTCCGGTTGATGTGCATTAATCCCAGCCTCGATGGAGTCAACATAGGCAACCAATTCATCAACTTTCGTCTGTGATTTCTCGGGCGACTGTTCCGCCGTGAATTCCGAGGCAAGTGATCTGATAGCCAGAAGTCTCAAGAATTTCTCTTTCTGGTCTGATTCTGGGTCTCCTTCAACACGCCATATGTGTTCTAGCCTGTGGTTTTCGCTTGCATGATATAACAACGTTGGTGTCTTTGTTGCTTGTTTCCCATATCCAAGGCACCGTCTTCTTAATAGCACGACCAAGCTTGGACACGGGTTCGTTAGAGGATTTTCGGCTTTTCCCCGGAGCACCCTTTGGGTGGAGGAATGGTAACAGGTAAGTCCAACATCAGAGTTCAGTTATGAGAATAATTGAACTTACCCGCTACTTTTATGCTGGACCGTGCCGAGGTGATCACTGGGCTCTAGGATCTTGACCAGATGAACACCAATGACGGGAAGGTTAATTAGATTGCAACAGCAATACTCAAGACGTATGATGAATTAATACTATCAAGTAGCATACAACAGAGCTCAGCGGCTATACTTCTCCCCCGCGCTCCCTCCTCCGAATCCGACACGGCCACCCATACGGCACGGCCAGGAACCGATTCTCGAACCGCCACTCGGCCTTGGGGTCAATGAGCTCGATGTCGTAGTCGCGCAAGACCGTCGCAAGGACTTTCGAGAGCTCGAATTGCGCGAGGTTGCGCCCGGGGCATTGGTTGTATCCTGCGCCCCACTGCGTTCATCAACGGTTAGCTAAAACGAAGGGTTATGGCCCTGGTGGGGGACATTAGGAGGGTAAAGACGTACGTGGATCATGAAGGAGTCCATCTTCTTGGTGTCGCTGTCGCCGTTCAGCCACCGCGTTGGGTTGTAGGTGTTGCAGTCGGCGCCGAAGATGGCGGCGTTGCGGTGGATCACCCAGGGGTGGACGCTTAGGATGACCTATTGCAAGCTTGTTAGTTCTCTTGTAATCGAGATGATGGAGTGGGTGGGCAGGACTTACGCCTTCGGGGAAGTACCGGCCGCCAACAGTCATTCCGCCCTTTGGCGAGATCCGAGGGAGGTTGTGGCAGACGCCGGGGTGGAAGCGGTATGCCTCTTTCAACTGAACAAGCAAACAAGATCAGCATTCTCGTCATGCCTGCAAAAGTGCAAGAGCCTGCATGGGACGAAGACTCACACAGGCCTGCAAGAACGGCAGCCTCGCCGCCTCGTTATACTGAATAACCTCCGACAGCTCGCCTCTCGCATGCGCAGCATCAATCTCCGCCTTCGCCATGACCATGAACCTCGGGTTCTTCAGCAAATAATAGGTCACCGCCTGCGCCGTCGCACTGGCCGGCTCCGCCCCAGCCCCGATGTTCGCGACCGCCGCGCCAAAGATATCCTCCTCGGCCATACGCTCCGGGTGCGTCGCGCGCATGTCCAGCCAGCGCTGCATCATGTCGTGCCGCAGCTCCGGGTTATTCTTGCGCGACTCAATGGCCATCAGGCACGTGTCGAAGATATGGCTGTTCGGCTGCAGTCCGAGCCGACTCACGAGCGGGTTCCCGAGCGTCAGGTTATGGAACCACACGTAGTTCCCGATGATGCTGATGTAGTAGACGAGCGACGCGGTGTTCGCGATCGCGTGTCGGATGTCGACGCCTTCTTGCAGGAACCCGAAGGATTTGCTGAATGTGACTTCGCCCAGCACGTCGAAGGCGTAGAAGCTGAACCAGTCTTCGAAGTGCACGGGGCTTCCGGACGCCGCGAGCTTGTCGAGTTGGGTGCTGAGGATTGTGAGGCATTTGTCGATGTGGGGTTCTGTCTTTGTGATGTTTGAGAGCGAGAAGCCGGAGGAGAGGTTGCGCGTTTTGTGGATGTGGCGGGTTGGGTCCAGTTCGGACATTTGGTTTACGTAGCGGTAGTCCGGGAGGGAGAAGACGGAGTAGAACTCGCCCTGCGAATGAGCAAAGTATGTTAGCCAGGGCTTTGCCTGGTCGGAATATGCCGTCGTTAATTCGTACCTTGACCAGGTTCGAGTGAAGAAGCTGCTTGACGGCATCGGGATGCGCAATGCTGACTTCGTTCTCGGAGATGCGGACGAAGTCGCCTAGTCCTCTTAGACATGTTTCTTGCTCGTAATCAGGTAGCATACCATGTTCCTTGTGCAGGTCGATAATCTCCTGCTCCGTATGCCCCTTGATAACATGGTATACCTTCCAGAGACTCCCAAACGAAGCCCAGAAGGGCCCGGGGACGTCGCGAATCGGCGACCAGTACCTTCGATAAAGCACACGCACCGCGACAGCAAGGATGACAAAGAGCGCAACGCGGTGCAGTTGGATAAACGAGACAATTTGATGTGTATCAAGCGGATTGAGATCCATCACCTTCGCCGGCGAACTCATGGTGACGTGTTTGCCTGCAGTGCACCCAAGTCCGCTGCAAGATAGATCGAAGAGCGAAACACGAGCGGAGGATATGTAAAGTGACGGGTCGACTGGGTGGATTCCAGCGAGGAGTTATATCAACTGCCATTGCCAACCAGCACCGGACATGACAGCGGCCCCTCCCGCGTGGAGTGACTGCTCCAACGTCTGTCCGTAGAGTTAGACTCCGTACTTTTGTATCTCGCCCGAAGCAACCGAACCGAGCGTCAGAGTTGCCCCTTGCTCCCTTTTGCCTTTTCTCACTTGATTTATTGCATGACTTGCGGCAGTTGATTGCATGGCAGATATTGAAGAAGGCCAGGGATACTTTATATGCATCTACCCCGTTGCCTTTCGAACCCCGTCAAGGTCGACCCAGGAGTCGCAGCGTTGCATTCCTGCCCGTCAAGGCCTCAAATTGAAACAGCCCAGGACTGATCGGTCGACACTTAGTGGGGCCCCCGCACACTGACAGTTAACGGCGCGCCCTGGCTCCGCTAAGGGTTAGCGAGGGGCTGGACAGTGGACAGTCAGTGAAGGGCGAAGATTGACAGGTACGAAAGTACGAGGATGGCTGATGGTCATTGGGCATCATCGTATCTGAGATCTCGCTTCCTCCAGCCGCGATATGACGAGGATGTTCGCTTACGGAGTATTCCTTCAGCTTCCCAGCCATTTGGATGAGAGAAACACCACCGAGATTCACCCTCGGCGCCCGCTGCATGCGGTTAGAGCCATTGTGGACACTGGTCGAGAACGCGCATGGACCAGCCGCTATCCCCAGACTACTGCACGCTTTGACAGGGATCTTAAACACGTCTCTTTCCTCAAATAGCAAGGTCGTGGCTCCGCCCCTGTCCATAATTCTCCGTAGATGCCGGTCGGGCAGGGATTAGAACAAAGTACGACCGCGTGGCTTTGATGAATTCCACGTTTCTATGGGGAACATTGCAGGAGAAGTTCGCTGCAGACGTTTATTTACAGGGATTTACACTTCAGGGCAAGGAGATGAAGCCAATCAGGGAGAAAAAGTCCCAGCCGAAGCCCTCGGTTTCTACCATGTGCCCGTGCCCCAGTGTGGTCATTTTCTCTTGAATGCAGAGGGACCGGTCACCGATAAAAGGTACCTTCAGCCCAGACCGAGGTTACCCATCTCATCCTTAGTCTCTACTGCATGAGAATCAGTCCAATACCCTTATCCCAAGAAGGCAATTAACGGCCATCCTGCATTACGAGTCCCACTCTCGGCAGCAGTATGGTCTGACGAGTCAATGCTTGGTCTAGGGGCAAACCCCGAAGCGGGCTGGGATGCCAGTGAACGGGCCGGCGCAGATGAATCAATTCGAGTCCAACTTCTATTATTACAATCGAGCTGTTGGCACTTATCTTCCCTCCTTATCTGGTTCTGAACGCAATCACCTCCTGAGACTGACAGCCCTCAACCATCCAAGTCTCAGCCCATGCCATGTCTTCAGACCTCACGCCTGCCTACCTGGCAGAAGACCGCAGCCGGCCCGCCCTAATCGGCATCTGGGTCGTGACCGCGCTGTCGGCCGTCGTCGTGCTCGTGCGGCTTTACGCGCGCAGAGTCCTGATCCGCGGGCTGGGCTGGGACGACCTCTTCATCGTGCTTGCGCAGGTACGCCGTCTGATCCTGGGTGTTAGCTGTCCAGCAACACCTTTGCTAATCATCCATCGGGCGATAGCTAGTAAGCTGGGCAACAACGGCCCTGTGCACGCAAATCCTGCGCCACGGCTCAGGCCGGCATCTGCGCGCCCTGATCCTCGAGTCCCCCGAGAGCCTAGTCAAGATGTACAAGTGGCTCGTCACAACGCAGATGGTGTACATGTTCAACCTGTATCTGTGCCGTGTCTCCGGACTCACATTCTACGCGCGCCTGAACCCCATGCCGCGCTTCATCTTCTACCTGCGCCTTTCGTTTGCATTTGTGAGCGCCGTCTGGGTCGCGCAGACTCTCATCATTGCGTTCCAGTGTATCCCGCTCGAGGCGCTGTGGGACCAGAGCGTTAAGGGACGGTGCATTGGGTCCGGCGTGACGTTTATTTCGACGGGGGCGTTGACGATCGCGTGCGATTCGCTGATTTTGCTTCTGCCCATTCGGATTGTGATGGGGTTGCAGGCGAAGACGGCGAGGAAGGTGGCGCTGTTGGGGATATTGTGTTTTGGGATTTTGTGAGTTTTCTGTCCTGTCCAGATTGATTTTCTAAGCAATGGATGGCTAATCGGAATGCTTTGTAGTGCCGTCGTGTATGTCCTCGTCGCTATCTTCTTCCCAAGGTTATACAATTGGAACCCCAGCTAACATATACCCCCAGAACGTCCGTCCTCCGCATGATCTCCATGATCGTCGCCGTCGACAACGAAGCCGACGCAACCTGGTACTTCTCGCCCGTGGTCGCCTGGACCTGCGCCGAAGTCAGCGCCGCCATCGTCGCGCTCTCCCTGCCCGCCCTGCGCTCCATCTTCGGCTTCTTCAAGGAGCGCTCGACCCGTGACCAGAGCAATTCATATCCACATGCGAGCTCGGGGTCGCGCGGGATCGGACTGGAGTCTGTTTCCAAGAGCAGCACGAAGCAGGCGCGCGTGTTTCATGGGAGCGGGATCTACGATAATACGGTTGATATTGGGGTTGCGAGGAGTCCGAGTCAGGAGGTTCTTTGGGATGGGTATGAGAATGGGGCGGCTGTGAATGGAGAGTATGGCAGGAGGGCTGGGGGGAAGGGGAGTCCGAGGGAGATTCGGGTGACGGAGACGGTGGATGTGGAGGTTGGGAGGGGGTAGGGGTAGACCTACCATACCTCTAACGCTCACTGTTGTTTCATTTGTTTGATATCCAGGATAAAAACCGTTCCGTTCGGCGCTGTGGCATGGTTCGTCAGAGGTATTACCCCGACATTGAAAGTGTAGCGGATCGAGATAGCCCAGCCCGAGATTACCAGGGGGCTGCGACGCCATTGAACTCAAACTAGCCAGTCGGAGTCGAGTCCGAGGCTGAAAGGTCGAGTAGATACCTATATGGGTATGGTCTCTTCATAGGTATGCTACCCCAGCCGCATGCAGCCCCTTTCAGTGTCTGCGGCAGGGCACCCTGCGATGCAAGACTAGGGTATTGCGCTACTCTGCATGCCTACCTGACTCTTGCAATGTGAAAATGGCAATGGCTAAAACTGGCCCGGGGCTGTGCCGAGATGCACAATTCATAATAGAGAAGGCGCAGATAAGCCAGAGAAGGCAGAGTGATTTCCAATATTAACCACTGGTCAGCGTCCTTTATAGAAGAGACAATGCTCAAACAGCATACATGTAATGCCATTGAATTGCCCCGAGAATCCTAGTAGCCATCCCAATTCTCCTGCGCCCAGTACTCCTCAGCCGTGACCAGCCGCCCCTTGACACCCTCCAACTCCCTCGCATCAACCATCACGTCCCCCTCCCCAACAGTCCCCCACGTCCTCGGCGCTCCAGCAACCTCAAAGAATTTGATCATAAGCCCGAGCTCAGTCCCCAGGGGCCCGTAAAGCTCCCCGTACTGCTCTAGTGAAATAGATAAAACACGTAACTTCCCCTTCCCAGCGATCTCCGCCCATTTCGAGAAATACTCCTGCAGCGGATACGCGCCTGTCGTGACGTGCACGTACCGACCTCCTTTGGGACCGGCGGGAACTTTGTCCTCGGGGTAGGGATATTCCAGGAGCCCGGCGACGGTGACGCCGATGTTCGTCACTGGGCCCAGCGAGGTGAGATGCGCTGAGGAGTTGGCGGGGAGGGGCAGGATATACTGTTTAGCTGCCCTCTGCGCGAACATTAGCTGACCAGCACTCGATGAAGGGGAAGGGAACCCCATACCGAGTAAACAGGCGTAAAAGGCGGAAACGCAAGATTACTCGCATAGACGCCCGTGAGTAAAAGTACAGCCTTGGGATTCAAAACCGCATCGCTCTTAATGTACGCATCGATATCGCCCTTCGCGTCGAAATGCGGCACTCCCACTTCTCCCCCCGTCAAATCCCGCGCCGCCGGCAGCGTACTCCAGAAGTACGTTTCCAGCGTGGGGATGTCTCTCGCAGCGCGCGCAAGCTTCACGCCCCGCTCGTACTCAATCTGCATGCACTTTTCTGGACCGACGCCTCTGGCAAAGGGCTCGTAGAAATCCGTCACGGCGAAGATGGCGGTTGCGCCGGTGAAGGCGAGCCTGAGGCTCTCTTCGTCGTCGAAGGACGCGGATACCATCTCGATACCGCGTGTGGTTAGGGCTTGGGCCTTAGGGCTGGCAGTGTTGCGGGTTACGCCGCGGATTTTCCAGGGGGTTTTAGGGTTGGCGGCGAGCAAGGCGTCGATTACGCTGGAGCCTTGGGCGCCTGTTGCGCCGGTGACGACGAGGAGGTTTGGCATTGTGAGGAGGTATAGTATGGTTAGATTGCGCGGAAGATAAAGTCAAAGATGGATTTTGCATGCTGGTATGGCGGGGTGGGGGGGGTAAATATAGGTACCCATTTCCGGGTGTTGATCCAGGGTTCAAGGTCGTGTTACTCTGCGCATGAGTCCTTGGTAAGGATGATAGTGCTGCAGTCCGCCAATGAAGGCAGGTCATGCAATGTGCCCAATAGCAGCAAGCCGTGCTCATTGGAGGATCATCAGCGTGACTGAATGTGCGATCACTAATCAGCAGAAGAATGTCAGCGTGCATCAGCTACTCTACAGTGGAAACGGCCTGGGCGCTACAAATCAATAAATAGCCCCAGCAGATAGAGCTCGTATTATTCGAGGATTGAGCGCTTTCTAGGCAGTTGCAGGCGCCCATGCTGGGCGGTTGCACGAGTGCTATCCAACCATCGTCATGCTTCCTTGCCAGTAGAGTTTTATCAGTAATCACATATCCCAGATACTTGAACCTTTATATCTAATCTGTATCAACATACCTACCCAGCTCGGATCTCCCACATAGAGGGATCTTTGGCCCATGTCTGTGACACTTATGACTGTCTGCTTGAATGCCCATCTAATATCTCAAACCAACTATTGTCTAACGATGTTGTCATTCCTCGAAAACGGCCGCTTCCGATACTGCCTGGATTCTGTCCCATGCAGTGCGCGAAGCCAAGACTGCTAGTAGCTAGTAGCGACCTGTGGAAGACCCCTGGGCATAGCCCTGTGGGTGGGATCCAGATCTGAGGGTCCATTCGATCACTTCATAGCCAGTCATGCTGGTTGGGATCTTACGTCTGCAGGGATTTGCGCTAGAGCTTTACGGGATGCCGTGTAATATAATTATTGAACAATAATCAGTCCGTCGAACTCCTTTGGCACAAGTGAATTCGTTGCCATTGTCCATAGCCCTCATTAGATGTTCTAGCACCCATATATTCAACGTTGACCAGAACACACCTCCCAACTCCCATACCTCTCCATGTAGCTCTTCCGTACCCCGAGTGTCTCTACCCATGCTTCCAGGCTCTCCACAAACCCCCTCAGTCAAACCGTATACCTAAAGAAACTCGCACTATCCCCCCTCTCCCTCTCCGCCGCCCTCTCAGCCTCCGAGTACTCAGCCGGCGGCTTAAACTCGCGATCGCGGCGCGCATTCTCCCGTCTCAGATAAACCGTCATGATACTGCACAGGATCGTCGACATGGTCAAACACCCAATCAGCGTGCCGTGCCCAATGCGGTAGTGCGGCCGGTCCTGGCTCCGGTAGATGAAACTCGACAGCACACCCCCCAAGTTCCCGCAGCCGACGTGCATTGCGATGCCGACAGACCGCTTGAACGACCCGCCGATGTTGTTCCCGTTCCAGGCCACGCCCTGCGGGACGTTCGGGTAGATTCCAGACGCGGCGAAGAAGGTGCCTGCGTATTTGACGCCGTTGTTGTCCGAGGAGATGAGCATTATGAAGCCGATTATGCTGGACGGACGTCAGTGTCAGCGGCCACTCGTGCATCGCTAGGTAAGTCAAGATGGGAAACGGGAGGAACATACGCAACGACATTAAAGAAAATCATATAAAGCCCCCTCTGCCCCTGGCGATCCGCCAAAAACCCACCCCCGATGCAGAAAACACACGCAACCACATACGGCGGCACCGTCATCAGCTGCGCCTCGTGGTTCTGGTACCCCAGACTCGACACGATGGTCGGCAGGAACAGCGAGAACGAGTACAGCGGCGTGTACACGCCGACCGTCACGAACATGTGCACCCAGATCTTCCAGTCCTTGACGGCGTCCCAGAAGTACTTCATGTTGTACTCGTCCGCGAGAGAAGACCGGTCTTCTTGCAGACGGCGCTCGACTTCGGCTTTTTCCGGCGCGGACAGGAATTTCGCGGTGGAGGGGTAGTCGTTCATTACGTAGAAGGAGGCGATTGCTGCGCGGCCATTGTTAGCGGTCCATGGGGATGATAAGGCAGGGGAAAGGATAGACGCACCAACAACAAACGTCAGAATACCCTCGATAATGAAAATCCACGCCCATCCGCCCTTCCCCCCAATCCCGTCCATCTCGCCGATTCCGCGCGCAAGCAGGCCCCCAAATGCGCCTGCTGCCGTGGCCGCCGAGAAGAAGATCGCCATGCGCAGACCGCACTCGTGCCGCTTGTACCACATCGTTATACTGCGTCCCCGTCATTAGCACCGCGCTTGGATGACGAGAGGCGGGGTGACATACTAGAATGTAACGCCAGGGAACAGTCCACCCTCCGCGATACCGAGCGCCGCGCGCGCGACGAGGAGCCCGGCGTAGTTCTCCACTAGACCCATGAGCGAGCAGACGATTGCCCAGGCGATCATGATCGAGGGGATCCAGAGGGATGGGCGCGAGCGCTTCATCATGATGTTCGAGGGGATTTCGGCGGCGACGTAGAAGGGGAAGAAGATGGCGAGGGCGACCTACACGTGCGAATTGGTTAGTCCGGCGATCCATGAGTTGGGGGAGGTGGAGGTTGGTGTGTTTACATTGTAGTCGAGGCCTGACATGCCCAGGTCCTCTTCGAGGCCGGCGAGACGGGCATTGCCGATGTTGGTGCGGTCGAGGAAACTCAGCCTATATCGGACTCGTTAGTGGACGTTTCTTTGGGTATACAATATGGGAGGGATGGGTGCGGCATACAAATAAAGCAAAGCCAACCACGGAATCAACACAAGATCGATCTTGCGAATCAACTTCTTCGTCGCGGACGTGTCAAACCCGCCAGCAACGGAATTCGAGCCGCGCTCTAGCTCCTCGCTGCTCCCGGCGTCAAGAGGGACCTTCTTCTCCTCCGTGGTGCCCGACATATCGAAATCAATGGGACGCACGCAAAAGAAGGAGCAGAGAAATGAAAAAGAAGAGGGTAAGACAACAGGGCCAGCCTTATTGCGTTGCGGGGGGACAGGCCCACTTATACCCCATCCATAAGGGTTGATCAGCATCAGCGCCGGGGCCCCTTGCTCCAGTCTCCAGTCTCCACCTTTCCAATCGAACTGAGCCTGACCGAGCAAAGCTGGGATCCCCTGCGTGGACCGGTCGCGTTACGGTTGAGCGCACCCTTGCGGCATGCGTATGCCACAGCGGAGGAATGGACGGGCCTGGCCAGTGAGCGTAAGGGATCTGTCATCTTCCAGCCGTCCAGCCAATGCGCGCGTGCGGAACTGTCTCGGCGAGATGGGAATAGGCTCAAGGGAAGAGATAAGCAAGGAATGGGGATCCTGGACCAAGTCCCAAGACGTTGAGGGCTGGGCTTGCTCAACAACCCTACCCCGGGCGTCAGCTTGGCTGGGGTTTGACGCACCGAACTTCGAAGCGAGCAGACATGCAGGGTCAGCCGCACAGGAGCCATCCCATCTCCATTGGCATACCCTCCTCCGTAAACATGAGATCTGCGATCACCCGGCTGGGATTTAAACGCGTTACCCCCCGAAAACCACCCCAGCCAGCAACCCTCACTGAGTCACTACTAGGGCTGTATCACAGACTCGAAGTTAAGCCAACTCAGCTGCACTGCCAATCCGTGCTACACACGACGCAGGTAAGCTGCCGTGAGACAGCCCTTACCAATCACATTCGCTCCAGACCCTCTAGAAGGCCTTGGCGCTTGGCGGCGCAATTTTGGGGCTCGGTGACAGGTTGGCGCGCTGACGAGGTGCGAAGGATTCTGGTGTAAGACGGGACGTACTTATCGAGAGTCGCCGTGTGGCCTCTGTGGCGGCTTCCAAGGCGCCGTAGAGCGGATGGGGGTATTCCTCCGGCTTGTCTTCCTTTTCTCCTGCGGGGACCCCGGACGGATGGGTTGAGTTACGAGTAAGAAGGATGAGGATGAGGATGAGATTGATGGGCTTGGCGAGGTGGATGAGATGGTGAGGAGGAGGAAGGAAGTGGCTGGGTGATGGGCGTTGCTTCGATTTTTGGTTATGGGACAAGGTTCGAACTGATGACGCCGGGTGAGTGATGGTAGCACAGTCAATGCAAGGGATATGGAAAAGAACCTTAAGGCTGGCAAGACTCAAAGCAGGAACTGGCACTGGCAGTATCTGCAACTGTCAGCAACCTGCCAACCCCTATCTCCAATCTCGATATCCCCGCCTCCGCAATATCAAAAAGATCACGGCCCCTCAGTCAGCCACAGCTTGGCAGTCTATCTTGGCAAATCCGGGGGAGTATTCTGGGGAAATACGAGCCGAGCCTGCTGGCCACTCCTTGGCCATCCTGTCACTGCTCTGGAGGCTTGGAACAGCTCGCCTGGAATGGTTCTTCGCGATGCCCGCTTGGCAAATAGCCCCGGTGTATATTTCTCCGATGATATATTAAGGCGACCGTCTCAAATAATGAACTAAGGTAGATGATGTTTCATGATTTCTCACTTCACCCTCAAAGTGGTATCTCCGTACGACTGATCGGAGACGTTCGCGGCTTGGCTGGAGCAGACGTACTTTATATATATCAGGCCAATATATAGGTATACAAATCTAGGGCAACAGAGACATGCAGCATCTACAAGAAGTAAACATGACACCAAAACAAAATAACCCACAAGATATACAACATCAAACCAAATCATAAAGCCAAGTCTCTCGCCAGCAAGAGACCCTCCCCATCCCCACGAAGTGACACCTTCTACCGACAAGACTTAATAGCAACACAAGCCTCATACGGCTCCTCCTCTAGAAAATCGTGCATAAACCGCGCAACATCCTTCTTAAACTCGCGCCGGAACTTCTGGCAGTGCCCGGCAAGGTACATCTGCCCGCGACACGCCTTGTCCAGCGCATACCGGAAGAACTGCGGGTTCTCGGCGACGGTCTTCATGCGCAGGATGCGGCTCTCAACGCGCGAGACGTAGTGCACGCAGTCGACGCATTCTTCGGCTTGCGAGGCGGACATGATGGGGTCCGGTTTGCGGGTAGTTACAAAGGCTGGGGTGGTAGTGTTAGTGGGAGGGGGAAAAAGGGAAAGGGGAGGGGGGATACCGATTGTGAGGATTATGAGGAGGAAAGTAGATAGGCATGTTGTTAGCGATGGCAGTTTGAATCTCATGGTCAGGGCGGGGATGGCCATGGCGACGAGAGCTGGAGACAAGGGAAGACCGAGCTGGACGGTCGCGAGGTCGGAGAGGAGGGGAAGCACGCTAGCTGGAAGCGGTTAGTGTGGCCTATTTATAGCTCTCTCTCTACAAGGTTGTTGAAAAGCTTCATTTTCGACAAACTAGGAGATTTGCTGCTAGCTGTAGTTATGTCAGCTGGAAATAAGTGCTTTGCTGCTCTGCTACAGATAGCTCACTCTATTTTTATAGTCAGCTCTCTCCATGCTAATATCATCGACCAATAGCGGATCCGGTTTCCAGATTCCATTGAAAGTGTAACTGATGGTATATCAGCCAGATTATGGTGGCCATGATGACTGTATTGAATTTCCAGGTTGCTGAATATTGGTAATGCTGCCTACTGTCGAATCACCGAGCGAAGCTGGGTCGACTTCTATTCACCTTCTAGCCCATCTCTTGATGATATCACTCCCTATTCACAGCAAGCTCATCCGCTCCTGCAGGCAAAACCAGACATACTCCTGCCATTCCATTCACTCTGACAGTGACTTTTTCTTGCACTCCCGAAGATGGCTCTCCTTCCTAGCGCCTATAAAAGGCTTCATTCAGTTCTCTTAAGACCGTCTTCTTCCATCATCATCATCACCATTTCATTTCACATCATTTCTCATTCTTACTCTGTTCGAATCTGTCAAATTCCGAAATGAAGACATCGTCAGCTCTTAAGATACTGCTTAGCCTTGCTAAACTCTGTCTCAATCTGCTCAGCGTGATCTCGTCGTGATAGATCATTCTCATCCAAGTATGAATATCGTCAACATGCAGACCCAAAAGACCAACCCGAAGTCCCCTCTCTTCCAAATGACTCTCCCGCCCACCACCATCGACGACCTCCCCGACGATATCCTCCACAAGATCTCCATCCAGCTGATCGAAGCATCACCCCATACCCCCTCCGCCCTCGCCCCTCTCTGCCGCGTCAACCAGCGCTGGAATACCCTCTTCACACCAACCCTCTACACCCACTTCACCTACAGCGGCGACCCATCCTCCATCCCCAAGCTCTGGTCCTTCCTCCGCACAATCCACCGGCGTCCGGACCTCGCATCGCTCGTCCACAGTCTCATCCTGACAACAACGCACCTCAATGAGCCGACTCTAGCGCAAGCCTACCACCCCGACTGGACGCGGTTCTTCAATATGCTTCGTGAGCTTGCAGCTGAGAATTACCACTGGGTTCTCGAGGCTTTGGCTGAGGGGGGCATGGCTGATCTGTACGATGATGTCTATGCTGCGTTCTTCCCGGCCCCGTCAGGACAGCAGCCGTGGGATATCGTGCACTGGGGAAAATACATCCAATCGCTCACGGCATTGGTCATGGCGCTCTGCCCCAATGTGACCAGGCTCGATGTGCATGTTCATCCGGACGACAAGTTCCTCAAGCGCACTCTCAACAGCGCAGTCGCATCGAGATCGCAGATGCAGCTGCTCAAGGACATAGATATGGATGCAGACTTGGATATCGCATTCGATACCGACGACGACGACAATGAGGTCCCCACCAGCCCCGATTCAACCATCAGCGGCCTGCCATTCCAGAATCTGCAAACCCTTATCTTGAGTCCGGCGTTTTCTTCTGTCCCAGGGAACAATTCGAACGCAGGTACTCTCGTCCTAGGCGACGAGTACCCCTTCCATCTACTCCCGAACCTGAAAGACCTGAGCATTCAAGGCCCCAACGCCAACATCCAAATCACACCAGGAACCCAAACCACCATGACACCAATCGAAACCCTAACCCTCTCCAACCTCCGAGTTCAGAACCTCCTCCCAGGTCTCGCAAGACTAGCTCTCCCAGAAGGCTCAACCCAAGCCCTAACAAGCAACCTCCGCAGCCTGACCCTAACCCTCCCAGACATCGGGGCGCAGAACAACAACGCCCGCCTCTACAGTCCCCTCTGGGCCGTGTTAAACCATCTCCGCAATCAACTCGTGGCCCTAGACGTCCAGCAAACCGTGAACGAGCACAACTGCACTCTAGACCTCGAGCTGGAGCCAGATTCATCTCGCTGGGCCCACAATCTCGACATGTGCACGTCTCTCTCGACGTTCCCAAAACTCACCCGTCTAAATGTATCGCTGTGGATCCTTGTCGCGCTGAACTGCACACATCCACACCCCTACCGGCTTATCTCGCATCTCCCGCCGAATGTCAAGGAGTTGGGAATTTACAATCACCCGCGTCTGCTGGATGTTATGTGGGAAGATGCGACGTTGCGTTTTAATCTGCCGTATGAGCTGGAGAATACGGTCCTCTGGAGCTCGAAGCGGTGCCTGGCCAAGGCTGTTATGCTCGAGGATGGCCGGTCGGTTGAGATTATGGATGCTGTGGCGGGGATGATGGGGGTTGGGGAACTGTTCGATTGAGCACCATACCGGTGATGCCACGATCATGGGACAAGGTACTTGGAAGAGATGATATGCCTGGTTCTACTGAGATATTATCACCCAGTTTCTCATTCTGCTTCTCTCCTTCATCTGTCTTCTTCCTTCATATGTCTTTTTCTTTTCTTTCTCTTACCAAATCTCTCTTCACTAGTCAACTTCAATATTTCAGTTTCGAAGTTTCGTATTAAAATAGCACTGTGCCGAAATATCTTCAAGATTACATTCACTATCCTATCTACTATGTGTTCTTTCTGATATCCAGGTACAACTGAGCCCTGATAATATTCTGAACGAGATAGCTACATATTTTCCAATGAGAATGCCTTGTGATACTAGCATAGTACAACCTTTATGGTAAATAGGCTATACTTGTGCTCGCAACCATGGAGGAAAATGATTATCGTGTAATGAATCCTGGGACAGCAGGACTGGGGTTTCCAGAAAAGTAAATGATAATTATAGCAGAGTATCAAGGTATTCAAGACGCCAACATCATGTCCCACGCTATGCAAAACGCTAAGAACAAGTAAAAGTCAGCGCGAAATTATGGATATATCTGGTTTAGTCAACCCAGGACCCCGGCATAACCTCCTCCTCGCGTTCGACCATCTCCCAAAACTCACCAACCAGTTCATCGATTGGATTCGTCACCCAGATCCGCCAGTCCTCCGGCTCGGGGCCATAAGCTATTTTGAGAATGCGAAACGGCAGCACGTCAATACTCTCACTTGTAAACCAAGAATATGATCTCAAAGGCCCAACATAAACAAGCACCTCGAGATCAAGGAGTGGGTCGGTCTCATGCACAAGCTGCTCCGTCGCACCGTAGGTTTCGAGGTCAACACCAGCAAGCTTCAGTTCAGTGACCCATTTTTGGAGGATGGGGTTGAAGTCGTAGCGCAATCGCCGAATTGCTCTCCAGTTCCGTACGTAGGACTGTAAGAACATGAGAAGTAGGGTGGCTGCTGTCCCACGTTCCCAAAGCCATGTTTTGTTCACGTCAGTACAAGCTGCAATGGCGTCTGAGAAGAGTGGTCGCCATTCGAGTGCTCGTTCTCTCTCAAACCCAAAGCTCACCCCCATACATACAATTATCTTGTCTAGAAGATCCCTGTTGTATTTATCATTCAGATCGAAAACATCCGGTTCGATACCCCCACCAAGGGCGATCTCTATCATGGAAGATGTTGCAGTAGTTGAACTGAGAGCCATGGCTCTTTCGAAGCGAAATTGGAGAGGTAAACTGGCATAGTTGTCAAAGGTTTGTTGCTGCATGAAAGTGAGGATTTCGGGTGGTCCACACAAGCCTCTCCCCCATGGATCCTCTTGCTGTCCGAGGTCTTCAAATGGATCATAACAATCCTTTGAGGCGTCAATCAATGTTCGCAGCCAACAGATGTCATCTGGTGATACGGTGTCCGGGAGGCCTCCTGACATAGAACGCGCGCAGAAGCCTTTCTCGTAATATTGAAGGGCGGTCCTGCCTATTATAAGCGAACGAAAGTATTTGCTGTTGCGAGCAAGACTCACAATCCTCCGTGGTCTGTATGGTCTGGATCAGCTCCGTTCTCGAGAAGCAGCTGGCAGACCTCAAGCTCATGCCAGTAGGCGGCATGCTGTAGCAAGTGAGTATAGACCCAAGCAGAAACCGTCTTGACCTACACTTAGGATACTCCTCCCCAAGTCGTCGCAATCCAACGGGGTTGCCAGACCAGCTGAAAAGAGTCTTTGAACTTCTTCAACATCACCCTTCCAGCAAGCATCCCATATGGGAGCGTTTCGTGGCACGATATTGCAGGACCGAATGCTAAATGTCCAGCCGGAATAGAGGCGCCTTAGCTGGAAATTCCAGAATTTGTCGATGACGATCAGAGGAGTGCGGAGCTGGAGCTTCCACGTCTGCTGTTCATTGCGCTGTGTTTTCCCCCTCCTTGTCTGGTAAAGGGATTGATCACTGTACTCTTTAGTTTCATGGATCTTTTTAGGCAAGATAATGGTCTTACTTTTGCTTGTGTGCTTCCATCTTCAACTTGCTCGTCTGACTGGTCTGGGTGCGTATTATCGAGCCCAGTTCCCGTAACGACGCACTGTAGACCGATCAGCATATGAGCTCCTTCAAACAGTGTATAACTCAATTGCCAGCCCCACCTGCAGTACGCCTGTTGAAGCAGCAGTAGCGTGCCTTTGATGTTATCCAGGTTCTGCCTCTGCGCTCGGATTTCATCTCTCTTCAACGCAAGCTTCACCATGGCGATCCTTCGTCCCGTGGCGGCGATCCGGTATTTCTCGATCTCGCGAATCAGAACTTCCAAGTCGCTCTGAAATGATGATAGCCGCCGCTGGGTAAGAGGGATGTTCATGAAGTCGAACATGTCCGGCGTCAAAGTTTGCAGCACACCTTGCACGATCTCGATCTCTTCAATCAAATCTTCCAACTCACGCGGGATCGATTTGATGAAGGCGCGAAGAGCCTTGAGTTTCTCGATGCTTGTGATAATGTGTTCGAGCAGGCTGAGGATGCTGATCGCGCTGGCCACGACGCCAAATGCTTCGGCCATTTTAGCGTGATCGTGGATCTTTTCGTAGTCTGGGCAGAACGGTAAGAAGAGGAAGATCGATGCGGGGCACTGGGCTGTCAGACGAACTTAAGGAGATCGAAACGAAACGCAAGGCTGCGGATTGTGGCTGTACGTAGGTATGCAGGCGCGCACAGCCTCGTCTGCACCTCCCAAGGCGCTGCTTACCACATCCATGCCACGTAGCACTCCGGAACAGGGAAAGTTGATCGAGACAGTGAGATTAATGCAAGACAGGTGCCGGGATATCGCAAGGCGATGGGTACCTATGGCAAGCATCGAAGCTGGATGTATTCGGGCGAACATATGTTGGGGAGAAGCGGGAATTAGCCTTCTACCGAGTAATATCGACGTACCAGGGGACCGTAGAAAGAGAAAAGATTCATCGACTTCTGAGTACAAGCCTTGGAAAGATGGATCAAAAGCATCGATGTCCACGGAAGAAAAAGAAACTCTTCACCCGGTCGGGCGCCACCAATCTTGCGGAAGAAGGAGCAAAGGCCGGACCACCTGCAGTCACCCTTGACATCCCAGGGCAAGTACGAGAAGCCGGAGACGCAGTTGCTCTTGAGCATTGCATATTCCGGTCGGAAACTACGAGCGAAAGCATGAGAAACACGTGTCATCAAAGGGCTAATAAAAACAAGCATTATTATACGGGTATAGTCTAACAACATCCATCCAAATCCCCAGTCCATACAGAAATCCACACACATACAGGACCTAGGCACATCCCCTAAAAGTGCGGCGCATTCAACGCCATCACACAAAGCAACCCAGCAATCAAACCCGCACAAGGCAGCGTCAACACCCAGCCCATAAAGATAAACGCAATCTGGCGCCAATTAATCGCCGCAAGATCATAGTTCATCAGCGCAACCCCAATCGCCGCACCCGTCAAACACTGCGTCGTGGACACAGGCAACCCAAGTCTACTCGCAAGAAGCACCGTCGTAGCGGCGCCCAATTCCGTCGCAAACCCCCGCGTCGGACTCATCTGCGTGATCTTGTTCCCCAACGCCCTCATAATATGGAACCCATAGAACCAAAACCCACCACCGAGCAACAGACCCGCAATAACAAGGAACCACACGGGCGTTCTGGCCTCCGTCTCAACAGACCCAGAGTTGAAGGTATGGTAGCTGCCCGCCCACGGCCCAACCGCATTCGCGACATCGTTCGACCCGTGCGCGATGCTCATCATCATGGCCGAGATCACCTGGCAGTACGTCCACATGTGCTCGACGCGGTCGTCGTAGCGGCGCGCGCGCGCGTGGATGTCGCGGAGGGCCTGGGAGTCGTGCGTGATGACGTCGCGGGTGACGCCCTGCAGGAGCCCGAATTTGGCGTACCCCAGCCACTTGCGCGGGTTGGACCAGGAGAGGGCGCGGACGGGGTCGAGGAAGCGCTCGTGCGGCTCGATGGGGCGGGTCTTGGGCGCGATTTCCGGGCTGGAGGTTAGGCTGGCTGGGTCGCGCTCGACGTCCGTGTCTTTTGCTTCCTTAAGATTGCCGTCGGTGGAGCCTGGGACGGTGGATTGGGAGGTCGGGTGTGTCTCGGCTCCGCCGGCGCGGACGACCCCGTATGCGTCTTCGTAGTGGTTTGTTATCGACCACTCGCCGGTGCGGGGGTAGTAGAGGGGTGGGTTTTCGGTCCAGAGGAGCGGGCCCAGCGGGATGTGGTAGAAGCGGACGCGGGGGTCGCGCTTGACGAGGCGGCGGTGGAAGTACGGCATGAAGAAGACGTAGCCGAGGAACAGGCAGCCGAAGAAGCAGCCCAGGACGATGCCCGTGGCTTTTCCGGCGCCGAATTCTTCGAGCGAGGGCGCGGTGGGCGCTTCGATTGTGATGAAGAGGGCGAGGATGCCGCCTGTTAGTGCGATGTACCAGGGGATCAGGCGGAGGGCCCATTTGAAGGGGTCGTCGCGCTCGAGGACGGAGTACTTGAGCGTTCCGAAGATGATGGCGGAGAACCCGCAGGCGATGGCGGGCGAGACGCCCCAGGATGCGGCGGTTTGGGAGACGCTCCCGCCTGTCCATTCCCAGGTGATGTCGGCTTGGGTTGCGAAGCCGACGCCGACGAGCGCGCCGATGATACTCTGTGTTGTGGAGACGGGCCAGCCGAGGAAGGTCGCGGTCGTCAGCCAGGCGGCGGAACCAACCTCCGCACAACCCATGGCAAGCATGTAGGTGCCGGGGTTGCCGATGAAGCGGTCGGGGGTGATGATGCCGGACTTGATGGTGTCGGTGACGCGGTCGCCGAGGGCAACGGCGCCAATGAACTCGGTGATGACGGCGAGGATGCCGACGTGCCACATCTTGAGAGTGCGGGCGGCGACGGAAGTGGCGTAGGCGTTGGCGACATCGTTGGCACCGTTACTGGCACAGCTGAAGACAAAGGCCATCGAGGTGATGGCCAGGATCCAGTCATACTTGGCGGTAAGTGGGTGAGGCATCTTGACGCAGGAGATGGATGTCAAGAAGACTACTATGGTAGAAGAAAGGCCTGAGCCGACGAGTGGTGCAGGTGAGAGCCATCGACAGCGGGCACAGAGCATTAAATACGCACGCTGTCGGGGCTGTCCGCCCGCGAGGCAAAAACGACTCAGACGAAGCTGCCAAGGGTCGCCCGGCAGGAATCATCTCGGACGGGCAGAACGTGAAGCTTGAGAGGGCCGGCATTGGCCCAGAGACAGCTCCAGAGGCAGCCAGGGCCAAGCGCATCCCAGAGGAGCGGACTTGGCAAGGACGCGGCTGCACAGCCAATCAGACGGGGATGCAGAGCACGTTCCTGAGCTTGTGGCCCACGTTGATCCTCAGGACTGAGCTTGTGGGCGTGATGATTGGGTGGTGCCGTGCCAACCCTCTTGGCGAGCCCTAACTCCTTCTCGGCAGCTGGGCACTCGACCTCTTCCCGACTGAACTGCGTAAGTCATGCATCAGGTGGCGGCTCGTGTTGGAACTCTGACACAACGTGGGGTGGTTGCAGCCTCCATCCTATCCACTTGCTCTGGTTCGAGTTCTCGCCGAGAGGCAGAATTTTCTTCCAAGCCGCACCATACCACAACACGATACACGTGCGGGAACTCAAGGCTCGTCAGGGCGCGAAATCTCGCGTACTTTGTCTCATCATATTCTGGAATCCTTCCTGCAGTCGCGTGGCCAGTCATCGTTTATGCCTGCATCGGTTGTCGCATGCATGCACGTCGGGCGGCTTCCATGCAGATTCTGGCGATTCCCGCGGCGTGCCCACACCCAAGTCGGTGATCTTTGCCGCTTGAAGTTACCGTACCTTCCTGCTCAGCCTTCGGTGGGGTTGGGCTTGGGCAAATCGTGCTCTCGCTGAACCCTGCAGGTGGTGAGATCCAGCACGGCGTGTCCAACATGAACGGCGAACGCAGGATCGAGATTGTTTCTAGAACACTTCGGTAGCGGCCAATCCTTTGCCATCGGAAGTCAGCTCACCACCTCGTTGTCTGATGGAAAAAGCAAGCATCCGACTTCCAAGATGGGTGGCCAAATTGATGGCATCTATCTGACGAGATGCGGGCACTTGTGGCGAGGACTTCATTCCATTTATAGTGATGGTTTCCCCACGTACCTCGTCAGCTGGATGTTTGCCGATCTCTGTACTGGGCTTCCACTTGCGCGTCCAAATGGAAAGTGAATATCAATCTTGGGGTCGAAGTTCAAGGTCCATACAGCCAAGATGCTTTGCACCTACAGATACATCGCCCCAGCGCGATGAAATAGATCTCGACTCAGGCCTGGTTCTAGAAAGAAACGGACCCCATGCCCGAGCACCAGTCTTGGAAAATAGGTGTATATTTGCCAACCCGGAACCATGTGTGTGCTATACAATAGTGCGGAGGCTTTGTCAGATGAAAACAACGAGTCTTCATTCCCTTTAGTGAATAAGACAGATCCCTCACCATTTCAAGCTGCAGCAGAATTGATTGATAGTAGAACAGCGGCTTCTGCCTTGGTTATAGCTATGTAGATATGTCCACTACAGGCTTTGCTCGTGGCAACAGATGGTGAGCAGTGTCCGTTGCCCTGTCTCAGGCCGAACACCACAAGCCACAACAGGAGATAACTTATCTAACTTATCACCGTGCGATTTAGTTTCAAGAACGAATTGAGAACCTGTTATATATGTAATAGAACAAGCCTCTTATATCACGATAGAAAGGGACTTATGGTAAACTCCTCGCACCCCCTCTTGTTTGGGGTTGCCGTAGGATGCCCTAGCTCAACGATTTGCTCGAGATATCAAGACAAACATTTTGATTCAACATTTAGATCAATCATGCGTTCAGAGTGCTCTAGGATGTCAAGTAAGTTGTGCTGTGACTTCAGCTGCTCGCAAATGACCCTTTAAATTACACACGCTATCCGCGTGAGCGAGACTTGGATTGAATCTAATTTGAATCATGCCACAGATCAGAGCAAAGTTGAAGTACAGTAAGCCCCTTATATAGTGCACTCGTCTACCATGGGAAAAGGACTGCAAATGTACCCGGCGGCGGATGGTCGCGTGGCCTATAGGTTCGTGTGTCCAGAAATATATTTCATTCGCCTTGTGTGACACCTGGTAGGACAGCAGTATCATCCATAACCTGCCCATCAGAGGCCACATACGCTACACTATATGAATTGCATACAACCAATAGCACGTACTGTTTTACTAAGATTGATATTTATGATCTCTTGACCATATCATCTCAACTTCGAGCTGTGACTGAAGGATATTTCCCTGTTTTGACCGGCCAGCGGTAGGACTGCGTTACTCAACGGTTACAAACCCAAAGTGAGGCCTGCAGGTGATCTGGGCAGTGGCAGCACGAACCATTCTCCTCTAGGGAGTCGGGCCTATAACTTTGCTCTCAGGTTCACGCCAACATTAGTTCTGGTTCTGCAGATATTCAGTCCTCCTGGCCCTGCCTGACCATACATGACCATACACAGTCTTGGCATAATCTTTCCCGCCCTTCCCATTTGTCAATCAAGCTCCCACCGAGCGCCAAGCACCAATCAGAGCACAATACAGCAATCCCGGTACAACGCCACAGCCCACCGCGTGGCCCGCTCAGCAGGACTTTTCAGGCCCCGAAATGCAGGCGTAGTCAGGAACATGCCGGGAATGTGCGACCTTGGCTTCAAGAATCAGGAGTCTGAGCGTGATTGTGTAGGCTGCTTCCCTAGCTCTGGAACCCAGCTTCTTACCTTCCCCTTGGACTAAGGTTCTTGGGAGCGCCACTCCGCCAGCCGCTGGATCGAGAACCGTTCATTCGACCAAACGATATTGGCATAGCTTCAGGTCGGTGACATGGTAAGATGGCGCCAGCAGAGAACTGGGCAATCGCGATCGGCGTCTTGGGGCTCTGCGGGGTCTTGGGTTTGAGCGTGCGGCTTTCGGCGCTGCGATGGCTTGTCTCGTGTAAGACTAGCAGACACGGTGCGATTCGACTTCCAGTAGACGATGAATATGAGCCTGCCTTAGACCAAACGGGGTATGTTGACGAGGACGGCGAAGCAACAGCGCAATCACTCGCGGAGTTCAACAAGGCGCAGAAGTGGCAGGGGTGGGCACTTGCCGTGCTGTCGATAGCTGGGTTCGGGGTTTCGCTGGCCCAGGCGGTGCTTGTTACGTGTGGAAGAGAGAGAGCGCGCCATTTGGGCTGTGTTTCGTGGGTGCAGATGGTTGCGTGGGTGAGCATTCTCCCCGTCAGCTCTGGACTTCTGATGCAGATGGCTAACAGCGTAGATGGCAATGACCACCCAACCAATCTCCCTGCTATCCGAAAAGTCCTGCGTAAGGCGCTACTCTCTCGGACTCTCCTCATTCTGGACCTCGCTCCTCACCCTCCTCGTCCTCGCATCGCAAACGGCCATCTTTTACAACGCCGGACACCCCATCACGATCTACGCGCCAGGTACAGCCCTCCTCTCCACGCAACTCGCCCTATCGACCCTCCGCGCAATCGCATCCATACTGATTCCCCGGAGGCCGAACGTCTACTTCGAAGGCCAAGTCGTCGACCAGGAATTCACAGTCAGCGCCTACAACCGCTTCACGTACGGCTGGGCCACAACGCTGCTGGACTTCGCGGCGAGACACAAAACACTGGATATCGAGGACCTGCCGAAACTGCCGTTCGCCGCGCGTGCCGAAACAGTGCATTCCAAGTTGCAGGAAGCCCAAATAGGCCGGAAGCTGTGGGTTGCGTTGGCAAGACGACACGCGCGGGCGTTAATGCTGCAGGGGGGCTTGAGTCTTGTCGTCTGTGTACTCGGGTTTGGGCCGCAGGTGGCGCTGTATCGGATTTTGAAGGCGCTGGAGGGTCGTGTGGTGGAGAGCGATGCTATGGCTATGGCTACGGGCGCGGGGGCTTGGGTGTGGGTTTGTGCGCTGGGGGTGTTGCTGGCGCTCTCGTCGAGCATTGAGTCGTGGCTTTGGTGGCTGATTTATTCGGATCTGTGGGTGCCGATTTATGAGGGGCTGTCTGGGCTTGTGTTTGCGAAGGCGATGAGGGGGAAGGATGTTCGAGCGCCGAGGACGAGGGCGAGAGCTCATGGGCGGGATGATGGGGGGTGGGAGGGAGAGCATAGTGGTGATGATGATGGAGAGGAGCGCAACCGGCAGAGCATCATCAACCTTGCTGCCGTGGACGCAAAGCGCATTGCCGACTTCGTTACATTCAGTTATCTCATCCCATCCTGCGTCTTACGGTTGGCCATCGCAGGGGGCTTCCTGGTCCGACTGATCGGGTGGCCGAGTCTGCTTGCTGGGATTGGCGGCGCAGTGCTGCTGGCTCCATTCAACTCATGGCTGACGAGTCGATATGCCGTCACGCAAGAGGAGCTCATGAAAGCCAGCGACAAGCGGACGAGTGCCGTCACCGAAGTCCTCCAGGGGATCAGGCAGGTCAAGTTCGGGGCGCTGGAGCAGCAATGGCAGGACCGCATCATGGAGAAGCGCGAGGCGGAGCTGAGGCTGCTCTGGCGGACGTCGGTGTATACCACAGGCATGGTCTCGGTCTGGATCATGGGGCCGCTGTTACTGTCCGCCATCTCCCTGACGGTCTACGCCTTGACGGAAGGAGATCTCTCGCCATCGGTGGCATTCACAGCGCTGAGTATCTTTGCCTCGCTGGAGTCGTCGCTAGCCAGCCTGCCCGATCTCTTCTCTAAGGCTATGGAGGCCAAGGTCAGCGCCGATCGAATCGACACCTTTCTCTCCTCCGCAGAGAAGATCTCGAATACCGCAAACGTAGAAAGCATCACATTCGAAAACGCAACCGTCGCCTGGCCGTCTGACTCTGACTCCGAAGAGAGCGCCGACAGGTTCGCCCTCCGCCACCTAACCCTCACCTTCCCACCCAACAAACTCTCCGTGATCGCCGGCAAAACCGGCAGCGGCAAATCCCTGCTCCTGGCCTCGATCCTCGGCGAATGCGACATCCTATCCGGGTCCGTGAAAGTCCCCCGCCCGCCATCCCAACGCCCCGACCACCTCGCGCTCCACGAGAACTGGACAATCCCCAACGCAATCGCATACGTCGCGCAGAACCCCTGGATGGAGAACGCAAGTATCAAGGAGAACATCCTCTTCGGGCTCCCGTATGACCACCAGCGGTACGGGAAGACGATCTTCGCGTCGGGGCTGGAGAAGGACATGGCTATGCTGCCGGACGGCGATCTCACGGACATCGGGGCGAACGGGATAAACCTTAGCGGAGGGCAGAGGTGGCGGGTTAGTTTTGCGCGTGCGCTGTTCTCGCGAGCCGGGATTCTGGTGCTGGATGATATCTTTTCGGCGCTGGATGCGGAGACGGGGCGCCATGTTTATGAGCATGCGTTGACTGGTGAGCTTGGTAAGGGACGGACCAGGATCCTGGTGACGCACCATGTTGGGCTGTGTCTTCCGAGGACGGATTACTGTGTGCTGTTGGAGAATGGCTGCGTGAGGCATGCGGGGACGGTCGATGAGCTTCGTGCAACGGGGCTGATGGATCTGGTGGGTAAGGCTGAGGTCGAACCGCTCCTAGAGATGCCTGCTGCTTGTGCTGGACGGCGTTCGTCTGCGTTTAGTGCCCGGACGATCCCCAAGTTCAACCAGGAGGAAAAGCGTGAGACGGGGGCGATCTCGATGGAGGTGTATACTGCGTACTTGACCCGCGGTGGGAAGATTGGGTGGTGGTTGTTCGCCTTTTTGGCATATGCCGCTTTCATGGCGTTGCTTGTAGGCAGGGTACGTTTAACTCACCTTCCATGGACATGGCTAACATGAATAGTCGTGGTGGGTAAGCATCTGGACCTCGACCTCGACTTCCACCCCCGAGGACAAACACCACGACACAACCTTCTACCTAAGCATCTACATCGCGATCTCGCTAGCCGCCTGCCTTATCGGCACAATCCGCTGCCTCGCCCTCGCGCACGCCTTCATCTCCTCCTCCCGCGCCCTCTTCACCGACCTCCTAACCACAATCCTCCGCGCCCCCCTCCGCTGGCTCGACACCATCCCTTTAGGCCGCATCCTCAACCGCTTCACATCCGACATCTACCTGCTGGACTGGCGCCTAGGCTACGACATCGGGCACGTCGCCTACAAAGCCCTCGAACTGCTCGGCATCCTCTCCGCAGCCATAACCGTCAGCCCACTCCTCCTCGTCCTGGCCTGCACCCTCCTCGCGCTCGCAACCCGCCTCTGCAAAACCTACCTCTCCGCCGTCCGCGAAATCAAACGCCTCGAAAGCACATCCAAGTCCCCCCTCCTCGAAACCTTCTCCTCCAGCCTCTCCGGCCTCTCCACCCTCCGCGCCTTCGCCAAAACCTCCGCCTACATCGCGCACATGCACACCCTGCTCTCCCGGCACGCCCAAGCCTCCTGGTACCTGTGGCTCTTCAACAGGTGGCTGGGCTTCTGGATGGCGCTTGTGGGCGCGCTATTCAGCACCCTCACCGCCGCGGTGGTCGTGTACAGCCCTGGCATCTCAGCGGCCGTCGCAGGCTTCGCGCTCAGCTTCGCGCTGCAGTATAACTACGCCGTGGCCATGGGGCTGCGGTTCTACGCGAACGTCGAGATCGATATGAATGCCGCCGAGCGGGTTCTGGAGTACGCGGGGGTCGAGACGGAGGTGCAGAGCGGGTATGTGCCGGCTGCGTCTTGGCCAAAGGGGGGTAGGATCGAGGTGCAGGATTTGGAGGTATCGTATGCGTCTGATCTCGAGCCTGTGCTGAGGGGCGTGAGATTTAGCGTCGAGAATAACCAGCGCGTTGGGGTTGTTGGACGGACTGGGGCCGGGAAGAGTTCGCTTACGCTCGCGCTTTTCCGGTTCCTGGAGGCGCGACGCGGGAGGATTGTGGTTGATGGGTTGGATATCCGGCATGTGAAGCTGCAGGAGCTGAGGAGGAGGTTGGCGATTATACCGCAGGATCCGGTGTTGTTTTCGGGCACGGTCCGCTCGAATTTGGATCCGTTTGGGGAGCATGATGATGCGGAGCTGTGGAATGCGCTGGAACGGGTGCATTTGGTGAGATTTGAGGATACGAGCACGCTTGCTTCTGCTGCTGCTTCTGCTTCTGCCTCAGGGCCAGGCTCAGGGTGTCAGTCTCCCTCCAATGGCAGTCAAAGCCCGGCCAGTCCAGCAGAGTCAGAGCCCTTGAGCTTAAGCGCAAGCACAACCCTCACCACGTCCTCCATCCCGCAGTCGGCTGGTTCGCCAACATGCTAGAGTATGAACACCCAGCCATGATACGCTGGAATTAGGAGTAAAGTATGTGGAAATTCTTGGCTGTGGTAATAATAGTGTAATATTATGGTATTTTAAGCCAATCTACCACTTAGGCTGGATATATAGCGTATTTTAGGTATATATTACTTTAAGGTTACATAACCTTACTGTTGCCACGCCGCCAAGCTTTTGTTGCCACCCTTAGTAAAAACTGGGTGTACATACCCTAGCACACCCAAAAAATGGATACGTTGCGGCAACGTATCCACTGGATTTCAGTATAACAACACGCTAGCTCCAGCGTGTTGGCGAACCAGCCGACTGCGGGATGGCTCCACCTCAGTCTCATCAAAGGCCAAACCAACCGGCTTCTTCGCCTCGCTGTCCTCGCCCATCAGCACAAACGGGGGGAACCTCTCGCACGGCCAACGGCAACTCCTTTGCCTCGCGCGAGCCATTCTAACGCGCCCCAAGATCATGGTGCTGGACGAGGCAACGTCTGCCGTGGACATGGAGACAGACGCGCTCATCCAACAATCCATCCGGGGTGAATTCGGCCGGTCCGACTCGAGTTTACTCGTTATTGCGCACCGGCTCAGTACAATTGCGGATTTTGATAAGATTCTTGTCCTGGATGAGGGACGGGTTGTGGAGTGGGGGAGTCCGAGGGAGTTGCTGGGGATTCAGGGGGGTGTTTTTAGGGGTTTGGTGGAGAGGAGTGGGGAGAGGAGTGTTGTTGAGGGGATTATTCTGGGTGATAATAAGAGGGATGCTTAGAGTGATGCCTTGTTAGCGGGAGTTGTGGTTGTTGATGTTGTATTTGCATTGTTATCAAGATATCCTGGCAGTTTGCCCTCGGCATTGAAGTCACTGTATTTGAAAAACAATGCATTTAATATAATGGACAAAGGCCTTCAACATCCTTGTCCTTTCCCCGGAGGCTTTCTTTTCGCAATAGTTCTGATGAATCATTGTTTTCCTGGCAAAGGCCGGACTTGATACTCTCTTTGCCTCATTGTTCCGGCACAAAGACTCTCCAAAGGGTTTGACAACCGTAGCACAATGTTGGGAACAAAGCCTCTCGTCTATATTAAGGCTCTACATGACCTGGCCAACAGTACTATAGCGGACTCTCGTGGAATTGCAGTTAGTTCTTCGCCCACAGAAGGATCAATGGCTCGTCCTACCAAAAATATGACAACCCATATCTGCCATCCCCCCAATCATCGAATCAGCACAATGGAACCCGCCGTTCTAATCCACCGCGTCACCAAAACCCTCGCAGCCGCGGGCATCGGCGCCGTCCTCTGGGGCGAGCACCTGCTAGCCACCTACGGCTCCGACATCCCCACGCAACCAGACTACAAATTCCTCCTCGACGACGCCAACGTCACCGCCGCCTTCGACACGCTCCTCGCCAACGGCCACGTCCTCTGCACGCGCCAAGACTGGGACGACGGGCTCTGCCCCGTCGTCGAGGAAATGCGGTCGAGGCGCCAGACAAAGGAACACTACAGCCCCTTCCACCCGTTCCCGGCGTACCATGTCCACGGGCACCGGGATACGCTGTACCAGCTTGACACGGTGATCGCGCTGTACAAGGCCTCGGCCTTCCTCCCCCCGACGTCGGATCTTTGCCCGCTTGGCCCGCCGGCTATTCTCCCCGGTGAGGACGGCCGTATCAACAGCCAAGCGCGCTTCCTGTACGCGCATATCTCGGGTCCGAATCCCACTGAATCTCGCGGCGGGAGATTCCCCGCTCACCTCGATTCCGTCCTCATTCCGTCCCCCATGTATTTCGCGCACATCCTCATCCACCTCGGCATACGCGACTGCATACGGCCCGGCGCACGGACACTCTGGAGCGCGTGGCTGATGGAACTGCGGGAGTGCTACGAGCTGCACGGGAGGGGGTTGGACGAGTGGGATGAAAAGTTGAATTTCCCTGAGCCGCTCAGGCCAATCTGGCAGTATGCGATTGATGCGCAGAATGATGTGCTCGAGCAGCCCGGGTGCATGAAGGTTTGGCGAGATGCGATGTGGAGGCTTGTGGGTGTTGATCCGGAGGAGGCGGTTCAGAAAGAGCATTTGGCGTTCCGGGACGGCAGGTGATGGGTCTATTTCTATACCGGTACCTGCATTGAAGGTCATTTTACGTGGGATGGGAGTCCTGTACGCTCTTTGCATCTAGTATAAGATAATAATATATGGTTTACCTGTTGATTTGGAACGCGTCTTCCGTCTTATAAGCACCTTATTTTAATATAATCTAATTCCAGAATTCTATTTGCATTTTAACAGTAGATGGGCAAGTTGATACCGCGCTCCCCGGCCTGTTCGTGTCCAGGCTCAACACCCCTGCTCTACCTAGATAACCAACATTTGTACGTCACAATTCCAGCCTCTCGAGGAGGAAGCACTAGTTGCGTTCGGCAACGGAAAATAAAACTGAGCTTGTTAAATGCGGGGTTCGCTTGATACGCCGAAGGCATGTTAGGGCTGTTAGGGCTGTTGACGGGCTTCGTGGCCGAGCTATCAAAACAGTTAGGTAGGGTAGTTGTTGGGGCCTCAAAGATGGGAACAACTTTGCAAGACAGCAATAGAGAAGCTTTCGAAAGCACCAGAAAGACCATTTTCGATCCATGAGTCACATCTCTCCCAGTGTCCGCGTGATTGATCCCTTCGGGTCGGTATCTCGGACCAAACCGGGCCCCATTGCATCTGCGCCCGATGCCCTAAGCACTGATCGCCTTACTTAAACGACAGCTAGAACATGCGAACGCCTAAAATCCACAACTGAACCTCCTCTATCATGTCGAACCTATTCCAGACAAAATCACGCCTCGCAACCACTGTCTCCATCCTCGCCCTGGGCGGCACAATAGCACTCTACCTCAGCAAGCAGCATCTCGACCGCTTATGTCCCCGTGTGCCAGTCACCAAACTACCAAAGTCAAGCGCATGTCGGAATCTCATTGAGTCGGACGAACCGGCACCAGCATCTCCATGGGGAACGGGAAAGTCGGTTGTCCTGTCGTCGTGGCCGGGCGCGAGCGCAAGTGGGTCTGCCCATGGGGACGGAAACACCTCCAGCAAAAGCAAAACGCACTGGGTGACTTCATTTGTGGCGCTGCAGGTTGATGTTCCGGTTGAGCAGCTTGAGAGGTATGGGTTCTGTACCAAAGGAGAAGATGGGCAGGGCAGGGGAGCAAACGAAGATGACGATGCTTATGGTCTGTCGCGGAATCTTCTCGGTGCATTCTTGGATGCTCGAGCCAAGGGGGTGGAGGCGTTCTTTCTAGATAGGAATGTGCCGCCACTGTCCTTTACGCCCGGCAGCTTGCTCTTCGGACGGGGGAGTAGTATGGGTGCGTTCACGCTGGGGAGCTGGAGCTCGTCGCGGAAACTACCTCTGCAGCCACCAATCTTGCCCGCCGAAACAGCTCATCCAGTCTCTGAGTTCCTTTCCAACGAAGAAGCTTTATCGGTCAATGAAGAGTGGGTAACGGACGCGGGCGGAACACTGCTCTATTGGAGATTTCCGCACAGTCTGGTGAACGCCGTCAACAAAGCCGCTTCATACGGCCTGCCCTGGCGATTAATGGATGGTGGATTCCAGGAGTTTATCGTAGAACGGATATCGGATGAGACGGCTAGGATCACGTATGTCACTGTTGAGTGTGGTGATATGTATCCTGGAGGCCAAACGAAAAGAGATTGGAAGAAATTGCCGTGGCTCGTGTATGAGCTTCATGTTGTCTATGCACAGGTTTTGTTGTGGAAGACTTTGAGAACGCTGGAGCAGAACCAATGAAGGTCCTTGGTAAACGAATATGTATATCAGTTCTCTCAGCTCATGTTGTTGTTATTACGGATGTACCATTCACCTCTAACCCTTTCCTAAGGATATAGCCAATAGTTCGAAAATGGTGAATCAATCTGGTGGTCAATCATTTTAGGTCTTAGAGGGGTGCTTTACCGTCCTGTATTTCTGGGTACTAGTTGGACTAGGGAAAGTGAATCGTTCAACACACAGAAAGTGATCTGATAATCCAGAGAAACTATCAGTGACCCCGTCCGGCTTTCTAGCCTGCGCCTCAATCCCGGATCCGTGGATAAAGGTCTCGTCTTTGTCGACACGGTAGGTAAAGAGCGTCCGCGAGCTCGCTGACAACGCAGCCGGCCATACCATCTCAAAGCACTTAGGTCCCCCGTTATACAACGACCGACCTATATCTGAGATACACCTGGAAAATCGCTTTGAGGGCTACTTGCGGGGTGGTTGGATATCATCGGCGAAATGTCTCAAAAGCGCGTCGCGGAAAGGTTTATGCCCTGAGGCACCGGGAAGAGGCTTTGGCCCTGGGCGCCCGAGACCGTTGGAACTGATTAGTTGCAGCTGAGCCAAAGGAGGTCTCGTGGAGTAGTAGTGAGTTTGATGATTGGACATGATAGAATACCAATATTATGGCAGGGTCCTTTGTTGTAGGCCCACATTTGAGGAGAACACGACCATCTGACTCTGTCCCTCATTTTCTTGAATAATTTAGAATAGGCGGATCGTTCGCTGGGTTTGCCGGAAGCATTCTGGTTTTGGTAGTCAAACTCGACGCCTGCATAGGCAAACAGCACGGGGCGCGGTAGGCCGCGATAGGGCGGGATATGTTCACCTAGTGGCTCTAGTCCTTCTCGCTCTTTCACGAAATGGCCCTCTCTATCGTAGTGCGCATGTGGCCTTCTGCCTTTGTATTTGTTGTGGCTGGGTCGTACCTCCGTGGGGAGCAAAGCGCGGGCGCGTGTGTGTGTGAGATAATAGTCCTCTTCCCGGTTGGTCTTCTGGCCATCGATGTAGGGCCGACAGAGGACGTAAACCTAACAACGGAGGGAACGGTTAGGACTGAATGGCAACGACCAACCATGGTTCCAAGGATGGGGCGTTCTTTGTGCAGTGTGGTAACGTACCTTCTCGGGATGGTTGGTATAGCGCCAGCCCATCTTTGATGGATGCAATGTGGTAAGTCAATGAAAGTTCGTGGGATTTCATGGAGAATGCTCAGAATCGTTTGTAATACTGCCAATCTATATTCTCCAGCCTGCATACTGAGCTCGCTGCAATGAAAGGAGGCCAATGGCCTCATTGTTGCAGTGGGCTTTGTATTTTGAATTTCCATCAGCTGCACAATGGCATCAGAATCTTGAAAGAACATCCTCTGTTTCTATGCCTGCTGGCTGCTGTCTACCTGCCAAGGAGTGAACTTGAAGTGCCCAGCTTTCCATAACAAAGAGCTCTGCGCCCCAGGTGCAATCCAGCCATGGCCGGTGCCTAATTACCAAAGTATGTCTTTGAGCACTTTTGGCCCAGGCGCCTACATTTCTTTGTTGGTTTGTCGCTGTCAAATATCCATCTTTTCTTCGATGCGCAGATACAAGAGCCAGGTGTCTTACTCTGCGACTGCATCTGATTCCTCTCAAACTCAATCTTTCCCAAATTTCATTATCCATCCCATCTTAACCAAGACCCATCATGTCAGCGCTGAACCTCCACCTCAAGCCAGACGGAGACGATCCGCACGAAGTCCACGGAGACTTCACCATCTGGAAAGCCTTCCAGGTCCTCAACGAATACCTCGACCCCACAGCCGACGCCTCGCACTCGCTCGATGAAGCCTTCGCGCTCCTCTACGCCATGCTCCCCAAGAAGACCATAAAATCGTCACACGCAGAGGACGGCATGTTCGTGCTTATCTGGGACATCGCAGAGCAAATCCCCTACTCGCACCCGGCTCAGGAAAAGCTCCTAGCGCTGTACCAACGCCTTGCGGAATCCGACAAGATCGTTCATCCCGAGGATCCAACCGAGACCCTTGAGGGGACGCAGGAATTTGCGCACAGCAGCACCCTGCGTACGTAAACTCGTCATTCTCGTCCAATACACTACTAATCAACCGTTATCTTATAGTCTGGGCCTTCGAGGACAAATCCGAAGCCCAAGGCGTCGTCAACGCCTGCGCCTTCTACGCGCGCCTCGAAGCAGCCGGCCTGACCAGCCTCGCGATTAGCAGAATCTACGCGTTCCAGGACTACCTCGAGAACAAGCCGCTGGCAAAGGATGTCGAGTTCCCGCAGGATGCGAACTACACGATCGCCGTGTGTGCGATGTGGGTCCTGTACGACGGCGACGCGTTCTTCAGACTTCTGACGGCGCCGGATAATCGCGAGGCTCTTGAGAGATTGAGGGCCGGCACTCGGGCCCTTGTTAAGCTGGAGGACTGGGACAAGTGGCAGCGGGCTTTTGCGCTTCGGGCGGAGACAGCTGTTTTTAGTGAGGAGGCGAGGGACTTGGCGAGGAGGGCTGCGGAGCATATGGCGGCGCTTGCGAGCGAGTATCAGAAGGGTGGAGGGTTGGAGAGTGCGAGCGGTAGTGCGGCGGTTGCGAGCGAGGATCAGAAGGGCGAAGGGTCGGACGTTGCGAGTACTAGTCGGGATGCTAGAGTGATGAAGGGTGCGAGTAGAGTGCTAAAGTGGCTTAGGGCTAAACGCACATGAAGCCGACATGGGACAACCTTAGCCCTTGGAAGACTTGAGTGCTGTTGTTAAAATCATTGCTGGAATTGAGTCTATATGCTGTCTTCGGGACCGAAATGTTGTCATTCTCTCCTCTTCGTACGTTTGAACGAGAGTTTTTACTGTGTAGTCGTCGCTGCTCAGGTCTCGCGATTATCAAAAACGGAATGAATACCAATCGGAGCGCTTAGCATGGATTACCGGCCGGGGTGGTCATGCGGCTACCTAAGTTGGAATATAGAAAAGGGCATGGATTTGGTTACCATAGTAGCATTTTACGTCTGGTGTCGCCCGTTAGGGCTCTTAAACAAACCGCCTATCGCAACTTTCCTCCGCATCCACCGACGGCATTCGTCCATTTACCATATCCTAGATGCAGAACCCAATTCGGTCAAATAGCGATACCTTTTTGCCGCAAACCGAAGATCCGGTACAGCAGCAATGGTTTTGGCAGCGCTATGGCTTCTTTCAACATAGGGAAAAGGTATGCTGACATCGAGATGCAGATAGGAAACTCTTCGCTTTTTATCGGGTGTTGTTAGGCGTCCCATCCTTGTCTCAATATACTCCACGTAGTATTAGGCTTTGCCATCCGCTGCCTCGGAGATTGCCGCGCCATGGCTGATTACCTTACGAGCGATCTACACTTACGATGGGCGCCACGCGCTGGCTGGGTTCTGACGTGGTACATTATACGGATAGGGTTAGGACGACAATATCAGAATAGTCGATGCACCAATTGAAAGTCGAACGCGGTAGCCCTCTATATTGGGGAAATGCGCGGTCCTGCTCCGAAAAGACAGCCGACGCAATCTCCAACGCTGTCCAATGGATTATTATTAGTTTAAGACAAGCCAAGCTGGCCACATGCAGGGCCCTGCAGCTAAGAATTAGTTTAATCCAATACGAGGTAGGGTCGCATCGGCTCGGAGAACTTCTAGGACGGTGTGACTAAAGCCAGGGACGCTTTCTCGGCGGCCCATTCCTTTTATACGACTCATGGCCAGTCTTTGTCTGCACGTGGTACAGATGCTGTAAAATCTGGTTGGGGGCGAGGACGAAATGGACGGGCAATCGCAGACTTATTAATTGGTGCCAGGATCCGGCTATAATAACCCTAACTAACTGCGCTTTGGTGTTGGTCCTGATTCGCCTGGGCGTCGGGCACCTGCATGCTATCGTGGCTGAGCCTCAATTCAGGGTCCTTGAGTCAGAGCCTGGTCCTTTCAGTCCAAGGACAAAGACATGTGCCTCCGACCGGCGTCCGCGCAGTCCGACCAGGCTGTCACAAGGTTCAGTGGACCCAGGGACATATATGATGGCGCAATCCGTCCCCTTCTGGCCCCCGACAGCTAAATCGCTCAAGCTTTTACTTTGCTGCCTGGTTTGGCTGGATCTCCACCTTAGGTGTCTTCGTTCTTGCTGTTCAGACATGTCCTGCGTCCTGTCCATGGGAGAAAATAGCAGTTCTTATTTGCTCTTTATTTGACCTGCATCCACGAGCCAAGACGGATATCAGTCTAGGTATTCACGATGCCTCCAGCAACCGCCAGAGCGAAGAAATCGCCCAGACCGGCAACGGACTATGAGCGCTGGCTTGGAGACGACGATCAGACACTCGACTCGGTCCGTCGATATGACACGAATCAATCAGCGGACGATCGCCATGACACCGACATTACGGTTACCGGCGAGTCGGACTCCCCCGCTCTTGTGTAAGTCGCACTGCACCTTCTGTCACGATACACTGCTGCAGTACTAAGAGCAATCAGGCGCAGTAATCACGATCAACCCCGGCCGAACACTGAGCCCGGGCCTTTACCAATACTACCCGACGATTCCCCTCAATCAGGCCGCCACTACCCTCGTCCGACGGTCCCCGATTTCGTCGCGCTCTATGCAGCGCTCATAATAGCCATTCTCCTCGTCCGGCGGCTTCATATATTCCTCAGGCGATCGCTATGGGAGAGGCGATTGATATGTGAGAAAGAGGGGGGAATAGAATACACAGACGGGGAGACGATTGAAGGGAATTATAAAGGGCAGCCTGCGACCAACCAAAGTTCTGGGCTCGATGTACTTAATTATTGCTAATGAAGGAACAAAAAGCAAAAAAAGAATGGAGCAGCTGGGAATCGAACCCAGGACCTCTCCCATGCTAAGGGAACATTATACCACTAAACCACAGCCCCATTTGATGTTAGTCTGCCTTATATTAACATATGTAAGCAAGCTTTTAGATTAAAACCTGTGAAGAAAATAACAGATAAAAGCAAAAAGATGGAGCAGCTGGGAATCGAACCCAGGACCTCTCCCATGCTAAGGGAACATTATACCACTAAACCACAGCCCCATTTTGATGTTAACACGTGACAAAATTGTGGTCTATATGCCACTTTTTTTGATTGATGCAAGTTGGACAACTCTATCGGCGGGTTTTTGAATGCACCATCCTACAGAGCAGACACATGTAACCTATTGTTTAAAAAAAAAAAAAAACTGCTATATCAAGACCTGCTTGAGGTTCTATTTACGCTACCCATATTGCTGTCCTTGAGTGACCACACAAATGCGCCGACAGACGATGGGCATTTGCCGCTACCCTTGACCGGCGTTGAAATATATATTCCTGATAGTTGACACCGCAGGGCTCCACAACACTACTGTAGAACTTTCACTGACGAAGAATCGCCACGCTCAAACCGAATCCTGCTATCATTCACATGGATTGCGAAACATACTTGTGCCTTTTAATTTAACCCGCCCGCGGTTCTAGTTACTGTATGCAAAGTCACTGGGAGGGAGTACTACCGCTGTGCATACGTCGTCCATCCATAGATTTAAAACAATATTTGATCGCCATCATTATCACCAAGAAGAAAAAGATGCCGGAGTGGCGAATTGGTAGGGTGAAGTCACGTAAAGCCTTCTGATATAGCCCCGTGAGCGCAACGACAGCGTTTCTGTTTAGTTGCCATACACTCTGACCAGGAGTCGTAGGATGCGAGTAGACATGGCGACAAGGAACTGAAATCCAGCGGTTTTCTGGGCATCTTGGAGAGAAAGGGACCGAAGGCTAAGAAGAGCAGGCTTAAGTTGGTTAGTATGGTAGGGTATGTTGGGGCATTTATTGTACAGTAGAGGGACGACGAATAACCAATGTCCTGGTTATTTCTGAATAAACAAAATGCAGTCTAAAGTGTAAGTGACCAAGGTAATTGAAATACATATAAGGTCTCAGGCGAGCGAGCATCCTTAGATCGCTGACCGGTTGCTTTGCTTACCCCGGGGCATAATTACGGGGAGTGTTGGTCCTGGACCTCATGCTAGAGCCCAGGAAGCAGTGTCTGAATTAAGATACACTTAGATATATGCTTACGGCCCGACTGTCCCTGTACGTTTCAGGTAGTAGATAAAGTTCCATATGTTACCGCTACGTATAAGAACGCCACAATCAGTCAAGACATCCATAATTCCGATACAGCCCTATGTACTTAGGTAGTCGGTTGAAAAGACTTATACCTAGCCAAAGCTCATAAAGAGGCCCCTGTTCCGACAGAAAAACAGAACCCCTTCATCACCCATACAAAACTTCAAAGGTCTAACATCTTGTGGACCAGGTAATACAACCTCCTGTTGCCCATCTGTCGAAACCAAAGAGCGGGCGGAGGGTACACGTTAACCGGGGACTAAACAATGACGCAGAGGAGGGGAAAGGCTAGATTCCCCGAATTCCTCCACGAGTGCAGCCTCAGCGATCCTTCGTTGATCCTTGTCTTCGGTGGGGATCAGCGGCCAGCTCCCGCATGTCGGCCGCAGCCCTGGGGGCACGGGGCGAACTGGAGGTACTGTCGGCAGATCGCACGTCCTAAGGAGCGCCATAAAGAATGGGTTAAAGGCACTTAGAGACTCGTGGCGACGGTCAGCACTAGCACTGGAAGGAATGCCGCCCCTGCCTGTCGCATCGATTAACACAGCGTCAGTGCATCGGTGTGAATACCCGGTATCTGGATCGTAGGAGTAGTGCTTAAAGATGACTACTAAGGTCCTAATCGGACGCTGATCAGCCAACCTTTGGGCAGGTGGACCTCTATAGAACGTGTAATCCAGGATGGCCATCTGTCCACTTGCTGGATACGTTACCATGTTTCTGAACTGGCCCATGGGATGAGGCTTCAGCTCCACTTGTCCAAGAAGGTGTCCGTTGATCCCTCGGATGATATGGGCTCTATGCTCAGTGCCGGAGTCGGAAAGCTGTATGAGGACTTCCTCGCCACGAGCAGCTTGAAGGAGCTTCATATTCTTGGTAGACAGCGATGAATCATGCATATGAGGTCTAGATTTGTATAGCTGAGCTCCTGTCCGGAAATCATACGCGACGAGCCAGTTCTCGCCAGTTGCGCGAAGATACTGGGAAGTGTAGACTCTCTCCTCACCCAGCAGATATGGCTGCCTCTCCGACCCGTCACGCATCGTAGGATCAGTGTCCTCCTGCCATAACACCCTGTGATCGGCTATTGAGTAAACAACATTCCTGTCGCCATTAGTTAAATTACGGAATCCAAGATTTATGCAAAGATACCTTTCGTGGGACCCGAAGTCACGGTCAAACGTCAGCTGTACCAGTATAATGCTCTGGTCGTTCGCCGCGAGGTGGGTTATGACAGCTGTCTCGGAAGTACCACGGGTGGAAAACTGCGTCGCCGGAATTCTGCCTTCTAGCTGTCTGACCTCTGAATTGATCTTCAAACTAAAAGAGTCCGGAAACCGCGTCCAACGTAGAGTGTCACCAAGGACATCCTGCTGTCCATCCGCTTGCACTGGATTCTGTTCCGAAGATTCCATCGTAGGCCACACAACGAAGTGTCGGCGCCAGCAAACGGGGCCAATGAGGCCGTCCGGGATGGGTCTAGTATTGTATTCGATTTCAAGAATGGAAGCCGGATGTCCTTTCCTTAGAGCATAGAGCTGGCAGACTGGAGTGTATGTTAGCCATGATAGCAACAGCTCTACCTACCAGATGGTCACGTACTATACCGTTTTTCATCTCCACATGTGAGCTTGTCAAGTTGCACACCCACAGGCGAGGGCCCGTCCATGAGTTGATTACCCAGCTTGTCTAACCATGTCACGGCAAACAGTTGCCAGGCCTTGCTGACTCTCTCCATGCGAACCACATCCTGCGGTGTGAGGTGTGAGGCGATAATGTTGACGACATTGGGGACTAGATACTTGATCGGATCGGCTCGCTTGGGAATGTTGTGCCCTTTGATTCTCTTCGCGAATGTAAAGTGATGGCCTCCCTCGCGGATGTTGAGCCCCTTCATTCTCTTCGCGAAAGTGGAGTCATGGCCTCCTTGGTGGGCTCGCTTCTTCGTAGGCTCGGACATTCTTGTAGCAGTGAATCTTGACGTTTCTATCTTGCTCGGTTGTGAAGGACTGAGAGTGGGGGTACTAAGAAATGGGTGGTAGATGGAAGTCACGATGGTGGGTGGTGGTAAGGAAAGTGCTATAGTAGCCGTAGCTTGATGGATAGAAGGCAGGAAGGGGCATGGAAGCGTTTAGAGGCGCTTGGAAGCAAAAGGTTGGCGTGGGATTATCCTGACAATGAATCCATAAGAAAGAAAGATGCATCTGCAATATTTCAATTCAGATGGCGTGAACCATGAAGCTATGGTTATGTCCTCCAAGGGGCAAAATGGCTTTACGTTATACAGATTGCTGTACATTTAGGCCACTCTAATAAATAATAGGACTACACTTCAATAATTACATTTCTGTGATGCCGCCATCTCTTACCCCCCCACAAGATACATGCAGCATCAACCTTAGGAGCACAAATAACGCTCCACCACAAAGCGCTAGGGCCGTATGGCCATGCAACGAATCTAAATCCCTAGACAAACTTCAAAGAAAAGTAGCCTCGATTAAACGAATACTCACCTCGCGTTTGAAAGAGAACGCTCCCGCTGTCAGTAAAATGGCCCTCCCAACCACGATCATAGCCGTTCGTATCTTGCCCGTGAGCAGAATCACCACGAATTACCATCTTCCCTCTACCTCGATCACTGCGTACCATGCTAGGAGGCGCGGAAATGCTAACCCCTTCACCGAGGACAAAGCACTGACGGAGTACCGGAGACGCACGGCTCGTTCGCCGCATTTGAGCCTCAATACGGGTCCGGACTGCTGCGCTGTCTGTGCGGACAAAAGGGCGGCTCCGGAGGCGCCACTGATAAGTGCGCCCATTGAGCTGCTCGTGTGTTGATGTAATGGCCGTCATGGAGAACGGATCAATGGCCAGTGGACCGCTCCAGGTTTCTCCGGAGGGATTGGGCTCAGTACCTGTGATAAGCGCGTCGGTGTGTGAAAGCCTCTACATGTACTTGGCGTCTGGGTGGTAAGCAAAGTACCGGAGAATGGTAACGCGCATGTTAGAGCTCGGCACCGGATACTCGCGTTTCAGAGCACAAAGGCTCAATTCGTAGTCCCAGGTATCGACGATGGCCATCCGCCTGCTTGCTGGGTGGGTGCGGATTTGATCGAACCTCTCAAGCCCTTTGTACGACAGGCTCCTGACATGGTGACCATTGCTTGCGTTAATGATGTTGAAAGGGCCATATGTTGTTTTTGCTGGGTATACTATGATGATTTCGTTGCCGTTGGTGGCCTGGAAGAGTCTCGCCTTTTCACAGGCCAATCTGCTGTCACTTAGAGGTCCACGTCCAAGCCGATGCTGGTAGAGGAGAAACCCCGTGCGGAAGTTACGAGCCACGATCCAGCCCGGGAACGGCGGTAGCGATAAAGCGTAAAGCCTCTCCTGACCAAGTAGGTGGGTCACTTCATCCTCTTCGAGGATTATGTTTTGTGTTTGCAGGTGGGAGTCATCCTGCCAAAGCACCTTATCATCAACCAGAGAATGAACAACAGTCCTGTGCACATCAGTTATGATTTGAGACAGCATAGAAACAGTTCTTTTAGGTAAGGTTACCTTTCCCATGCCGCATTCCTACCTGGTCTTAACTTTATCAGCACGATTCCATCATCATTCGCTGCTAAATGGGTTATTCCAACTCCCGCATCATCAGGCGTGCAGAATCGCGTCATCGGCACTTTTTGGAACTTTCCCCCCCCTGGAAGCTTAGAGCCTGAGTACCATCTCCAGTACAGGTTGTCACCGACATGCTCCGGCTGTGGACCGTCATTCCTGTAGAAGAATCTCGCAGTGGGTCCAACCTGCACCATGAAGTCTCGACGCCAGCAAACATGCGAAAAGGGATGAAGAAAAGAATCATAATGTAATCTCACAGCTGTAGTAGAATAACCACCTCTCAGAGAATGTAGCCGGCAAACTGCAGACGTTAGCCAGGGCTTGGAACCATCCATGACTGGCCTGGGTTCTATGCACGTACTGCTTTGTTTTTGATCTGCGTATGTGATCTTTTCCAGCCCCATGGCGTTCAGCTGATAGGCTGCGGACATTAGCCGGGCATTTCAATGAACAAAATGCGACCTATGTACATACTATACTTTTTCTGATCTGCGTATAGGGGGTTGCCGGGCTCGATCTTGAGGAACTTAGCGATCACCGCCGCTAGCCAGAATTCAGACACGGCTTGCCATCTCTCGCTGACCCTCTCAGAGCGTACAATGTCTTTTGGCGTGAGGTATGACCCTATGAGATGCAGGACGTCCTTGTTGAGGTGGCCGAGAGGGTCAGCCTGGCTCAAGGCTAGACTGTCGCTTGATTTCAACTTCTTTGCACCTGCCGGACGCTCAGGCAGCTCAGTCTCCCAGCCTCGCTTTTTCGCGGGGTCTGACATCTTTCGCCAAAGTTAATGGTATCTGAATGGTTATGGCGCTTTAGTCCACGAATAAGTCGGGTGATAGCCAACGATATTGTAGTCGGGGTAACCGCAATGGGCGGTCGGGGTAGCAGATAGATACGGACAGTTCTGGCAGCAGCAGTAGCTTGCTGGAAAGTGCTGGATAACTGGTTAACGGCGGAAGAGAGTTGAATATTAACGAAATGACAGGTGTGACCTAAACAACAAAAGAAATATTCTGTTTGACTGTGGATGTCTTCAATGCAGGGCCGCCGGGATGAATATTTCGGTATCACAGGTAGATGGTGTGCCTCTAGCAGCAAACGGATGAGTAACTGATTGGCTCATGATGGGCTTGATTCTTCCTGTGATGTCCCAAGGGCCCTCCCGCTTGCTGAATGGGTGACGATTGGATCCTATCCCGGTGGAGGGGTGTTTTCACGACTATTCAGGTACCTGGTAGGTAGTTATGTAACCTTATTGAAAGTCTCTTTCTGTAGATGTACTGCCTTGATTTTATGTAAACTATAATGATAATCTTTTGATACTTTGTAATACTTTATAATGCCCTTACCGACGTTTGCCCTGGATTAGCTTTTATCAGTTCCAGTCTTCCACACTGGATTTTGAATCCTCTAGTAGGGCGATTCTCTCAAGATTTTACTTCAAAAACGTCTGATCTAGTTTTTAACACAACATGTTCCTGATATTTGCTGCGAGGACAAAGACATGGTTGGTCAATCAAGTCGCCAGGAATGCAATAATTTTTACGGAAGAAAAAGACTTGCGCCTACCTAGAAATCCACGTGGAACTTAACATGACGGGTAAGACAGTCGTGATTCTGGATAAGAGAGCCACACTTACTACTTGCATACTGAAATCTAATTCAGCGGTAACAAGTGTTGTGTCGAGCGTTTTAGGAATATGGTATGCTCAGAAGCAAAATAACCGAGAACCCGCGACTCAAATTCCGTTCGGCCCAGCCTCGTCGTCGAGGAAAATACTGCGGTTCAACATTCTGCGCCCTGTACGGATTACTTGGAGAAACAAGATCCTGTGCTGTTGATATGTGTGTGTGCCAAAGGCTCATGCTTGCTTCCGCGCCCCAATATTTTTCCAACATCATATCGCCTTCTTGTCTGGCGCCATGAGAGAATTGAAGCCGCCGATTGGCTTTGCCTTCTAGATAAGTTGGGCAAAAATCCGTGGCGCTTATCTATGACATTCACTGGCTATTGCCAAGCATAGACAGGCCCCGGCGTCAGTGATGGCCGCCAACACAGATTACCAACAGGTTGGCTGCAAATGATTGGAAAGTAGATGCAGCTGCCTAGAGCAAGACCAGAGTTTGAGGCCAATCAAACAGCACCTCGAGTGTCAAAGCGCAAGACTACAACTGCGGGCAGGCTTCACCCCAGCCTTGCCATCCGCATGTAAGTAGCTGCTTGGAGAAAACACGACTCTCTTGCGTAAGAGGCTGCGGAGCCGGAAACGCCCTACCAGCCTGATGTGGCCCATCATAATATAAAAAAGGCTGACCTTGACTTATGTGAATTCAGTGAGCTTTCTCTTCATCCAGGTTACTCCCACAAAGTTGGAGCCTCATAAAGTCCTAGTACTGTGTTGCTGTTATTCTATATTCAGCCTTGATCTTCTAGTCACGCAACCCAAGCACCTACTGGTCAACAAAGATGTGTGATATCTGGGTTGTTACTGTTACTTTCACCTGTGGTCATACAATCGAGCGGCGTGAACCCCACCCATGCCCAGAAAACCACCCACAACCATGGCCAGAGAGATTCATGGGGAGCTCCCGCAACCGACAAAGGAGCTGCCCAACGTGCGCTGGAGTGCCAAATGGACACTAGCACTAGCACAGGAGGTAATGATTCTGCCGCTCTATACTCATGAGCTCTGGGGTAATGTGGCGTGGCAAACAGATCATAACGCCAAGCAACCTTCCGAGCTGAATCGCATTTAATGAAAAGGGCAGGTAGGGGAGGGAGAATTGATGAGTAGATATTGGGCTGATGAAAACATTTGGTCGAAATTTCGAAGAATCAATCAAATGTTGGGGTTATTTCTAGGTATAAGAAGCCCTAGGTGAAACTCGCGAGGGCAACTATCACATTATGGTAGCTTTTCATGTACTTAGAATTCCTATCCATCTGACAGGGAAGCTTTCCATGGCCACCTCACAGCCAAGCTCAATCTATCCTTTGCGAAAGCGAGGATCAATTCCTCCTAAGTACCTACAGACTGCATCCAGTACCGCATGTGCAGATGAACCACGTGACCATCTTGGCAACCCCCCCTTTGTTGCGTGACTCCTTCCCATCTGAATGTTTCCCAACCACCATTCAAGGAAACAGAAGGTGCACCAAACATGCTTTCTTACTTGCTCTCCTTCTGGTCTTCGGTATGGTTTACCGCACGAATGACTCTTTTTCGTTCGTGGCGAGCCCTCTCTCTCCTATTCCCTCTTGAAAGAGCTCAACTGTCGGACATTGAAAAAGATATCGAGAACAAGCCCGAGAACTATGCCGATTCTACTCTTACTGTCCAGTATCAAATAGATCTGGAGATCATCGGCGTCGGTGCAGCAGGTCAAGTCTATAATGTTGATGATCATATTGTTATGAAGGCAGGCAGGGTATACGTGCCTCCTTCAGAAAATGCCACCCCCCGTGCCCAATGGGACTATGCCTCCGAGTCAATTTTTCACTTCGGTCTAATGCGAGATGAGAAAAGCGTGTTCCGCCTGCTATCACAGCACCCTCACCTAAACATCATTGAAGCCATCGACACAAGCTACCCCGAAGGCGTCTACCTCCGTAAATATCAACCATTCCCCGACACCAAACTACCTCCTCAATCTGTCCGGATGCTCTGGTACCAGGATATCCTCCAAGCGCTTTCTCACCTCCACAGTCTTCGCATCGCACATTCAGATATACGGAAGGATAACATCCTCCTGGACGCACAAGGACATGCTCTACTTTCTGATTTCAGCGCCAGCTGTCCCTTCGGATACCCGAATCCATCGCTTCCATTCCTTCTTAATGGACAGTCGGAGACAGTTTCAGACGGCTCCGATATGTTCGCCATGGCTTCCCTGATCTACGAGTTGGAGACTGGCGCCCGGCCGGAAATAACTCTTAACGATCGCGATGAAGTTGTTTTACCCGCAGTCCATACCGGAAACACCGGTCTGGACTCCCTGATTGAGAATGCGTGGAGGGGGCGGTATGAATCTACGGCCGATATGCTGGCGCGCGCTCGGAGTCTGAACCACAGCGAAGATATTCGCGGGCAGACTCAAGATTGTCCTTCGAAGGAAGAATTACGATCGCGCATTAGGCAGTGGAGGAGGGATCGAGAGGAACGGCATGGTAAGCCGACTTTCAATCTTCCTAATCGTGCAAGTTGCTAAGGTTGCTGATATGGGGTATCAGGATGTATCCTCTATTCTCTACCAACAGAGAAACAACTGCGCATTCTGGCAGAGCGTTACGACCTTGATATGGATGCGGAGCTGCGCTTTCATGACTATGAAGCAAACTCCGGACAGAAATAAGTGTCACTTATCATTGTTGATGCGTCGATAGTGGAATTTAGCGTTGGAGGGAGTGGTTTAGGGTCGGCCATTGAGACAGAAAGAAGGCATTATTTTCCACACATGAAGCGCTATTGCTTAGAAGGGATCGGCTTGAACAACAACAACATCGCATATCTGTGATCATACAAGTAGTATCTCCGTATCATTATGTTATCATTTCGTTTGACATAGGGAAAGCTTCAATTAAGCGGAGACCCGCAGTAGGCAAACAATGAACCATCCCCTCTAGCCAAATCGCAGGAAATACTGTGGATGCCCAGTGCAAACCACAACGCTCCCATCGTCCGTAAAGTGACCAGAATCGCTAACTTTAAAGTCCGGCAGCCTCAGATCTTCTCGTGCCTTTCCACCTTGCGCATCTCGCGACATAGAAGGAACAGTAACCGTCTCCACCTCACCCAAGACAAAGCACTGACGAAGAGTAGGGACAGCGCTGGCTTTCTTGAAGCGTTCAGCTAGAACAGCCTCAGCGCACGCGCGAAGTTTCGCGTTTTCCGTGGGTTCCATCACACAGCTATAAAAGCACATCTCAGCTCTTTCATTCGGGTCACGCTGTTCGAGCGATGACACAATCGCGGTCCGGTAGAAGGGATTCACGATAACCTGAGAGGGACGGGGGCGTTTAGGGACTTGCAAGGGGTTGTGCGCATGGCCGGCGAGGAGAGCGTCGGTGTGGAGAAGAGAATACCCAGTGTTGGGGTTATAGGCGTAGTGGCTTAAGAGAACGACGCGGGTCCAGGATATGAATTGATGGGCGGAAAGTTTTGCATTGCCATACTCGGATATAATGTCGATAATCGCCATCTGTCTGCTTGCCGGATGGGCGAGGATGGAATCCAGGTGCAGCGTACTGGTGCTTGATGGGTTAGGGTACTCGACGTGTCCAAGTCGGATGCCCGTTTTGCCGTTGATAATGCTCACCCCCTCCAGCTGCTTCTTCTCGGAGACTCTGGAGTGCAGAAGGAGTTCCGCGCCGTTTGCTGCTTGAATAATGCGCATATGCCGAGTGGGCGCCTTTTTTGAGTTTGAAGTGGCGATATGGAGCTTCATTTTCCACAGCTGAGCCCTTGTGCGGAAGTTGATTGCAACGATCCATCTGAAGGGGCGCTCCCACGGGGCAGTATAGACTGTGCTTTGGCCCAGGAGGTAGGGGACCCTGGGCATGATGATATTCTTGTCACTGCCCTTGCCCTTGCCCTTCCCCTTGCGCGCTGAAGGGGTGGTAAACTCGCTCCACAGGACCTTGTTCTCATCCGGGGAGTAAACGAGATTCCTAAGGCAAGGTTGTTAGATTGAATTCAATACGAGAAATATTCTTACCTTTCAAGCACTTCAGGGTCTCGGTCAAGAGTCAACTGGACCAACATAGTCCCATCATCATTCACTGCCAAATGGTAAATATACGCGGCTTCAGGAGTCCCGGATGTGAGTGGGAGGAAGCGCGTTGCTGGAATATATGAAATTGTCTCTTCGTTTGCCGAAACCTGCCTCCAGTACAGTATGTCACTGGACGGATTGCGTGTTTGAGGCGACGTTGGAGCAAACGATGAGCCAGAAACGACCCACGCAGCAAACTTCAGGTCGCGCCGCCAGCAAATAACCTCGACTCGGCCTCGCTCGTCACGACAATCCAATATGTGCGCCGAGACTGCATTGCCGCTCCTCAAATTATGCAGCAAGCGAACTGAAAGGATTAGGCCCAGAAAGGGTAGCGCAGTGAACTTTTACCAGGGGCTATAACTCACAATAGTGTTTCTGTTCTGGATGTAAGAGCCCACCTAGCTGGATCGCCGGGTGCGTTGTTTCGGCCGTCAGTCGATATGCGGCCCTGGTCAGCCAGTCCCGAGTCCGCGTTTGCCATTCCTTGCTGACCCTTTCGAGCGACACGATCTCTCGAGGCGTGAGGTACGATGCAATAATTTGGAGGACGTCGAAGTTCAGGCGGGCAACAGGACCAACGCGCGCGGAGTTGTCTGCTTTGACCCTTTTCGCTGGGCGGGAGTCCAGGTGTCCTTCAGGTTCGAAATCCCGCTTTTTCGTGGGCTGGGACATGGTCGGTCTGGGCGGTGCCCGGGATTCGATGAGGGGATCAGAGTAAGCGAGCGAAGGCGGTTAAAGAGTGCGGTGATTCTTGATAGCTTGAAGTTGATGGTGCAGTGGTTTCAACAAACAAATACCACGAATCAATGCCTATTGACAAGAACTGCGGGGCTTATGGGAGGATGAAGTGACAAGATAAAACCTTGATGAGTTGAAGAAGGTAGATATAAGGATATGTGGAAGATTCCAAGTTGTTCAGACACCAGGGAGGAGGAGTATCTTTAGTGAGTCTGCCACTGTATGGCAGTGAATGCAATTCACAAAGTGCAGAAGGGTGGAAAAGCCAATGGCCTACATTATTAGCTGTATCCCATCACAGCATAAAGAGCAAGAACATTGGCTTGCGAGGAGAAGCTTCTATTCACAGTCTACTGCTCTTCATTCTCTGCATATCATTTTTGAACTGTAGCTGGCACGCCTTAGATTGGTTTTCTCAGCAATTTAGTTACTATGCCCGGTACTTGCCGCCAATGATATTGCAAGTGGACTATACGTATCAACAGTAGAAGAATGACCTTGGAAACTGCAGAGAGATCTTGTACTGAACCTCTTTCGGTTCATTCCCTTGTCGTTGCGGACTCAACCTTACGCAGTAGGGCACCCAGGGCCCTGAATTGGCTCTATCTGCGGAGAAAAGGCAACACACTCTCGTATATTATACACAGTCAAACTTAGTATCCATTTTCCCTATCTCATAAAGTAGACTAAGAGGACCCCTCAGATCATGCTATTGTCCATCTATCCCGCAAAACCAAGAAAATAGCTCGCATTCTCAGTGCAAGCGCTCGGGCTCAAAGATGACGTGAAGACCGCATCTCCATTGCCAGTAAAACGCGAGTCCCACCTCAATCCAGTCTCAGTCATTACTGCCTCTTTTCTCTGTCCCGTGCCGATGCCTGTCTCCCCAGCCGACTCAGGAGAAGCGGTGATCCTCACCGCGTCGCCGAGAACCCAACATTGGCGGAGAGGAGGACGCGGGAGAGAAATCTGGTCATACCTGAGTTTTAGGATTGCCTTAACAGCGCGACGGATGGCTATTTCCTCAGTCGGGACAAAGGGGTAGCTCCACAACGACCGCTGTGAAGACTTGGTTTGTTGGGTGGGTGGACAATCTATGAATGACAAGATGGCTGTCCTGTAGAACGGATTGATGGCGGCTGGAGATATAAGGCGGTAATTGAAATGGCTCTGGAGTGGATCGGATCTAGGGCCTGCCATCAAAGCGTCGGTGTGGAGCAGCGCATACCCGGTCTCTTGATTGTAAGAATAGTAGCTCAGGATGACGAATCGGCTGTCAAATAGCAATGGATGGGCGTCAAGCATAAGTGAAGGGAACCATTCCTCAACAATATCTATGACAGCCATCTGCCCACTTGCAGGGTGGGTAAGAATATTGTCGAGATTGAGTCCGCCGCCGAGAAGCTTCAAGTGTCCAATGTAAACGCCGCAGCTTACCCTGACAATGTGGAATTCGCAAATGTTCTCACCTAAACAGGGCGAAAGATGCACGAACAGTTCGTCGTCGTCGGTGGCTTGAAGGAGTCTCATCTGCCCGGTATCGACAGCATCCTGGTGAACAGGATAACCGGTTTTGTACAGTCGTGACCCTGAGCGAAAGTCCTCAGCAATAAGATTGTGATTATAGGTCTCTTCGCAACCTGAGATAGTATAAAGCCGCTCTCTGCCAAGTAGGTAGCGCATCCCGTAATAATAGCCAGAGAGCCCGTTGATGTTCTCCAGCCACAGGATCTTATCGTCGGCCCAGGAATAAACGACATTGGTAACCCTGCGTCTGTTAGCAAGGAAGAAGTCTCATCCTGGAGGCCGGATCCTGTTACCTTAGGCCCCTACATGGACGTCTGGGCGGTGCGAGAGCCATCTGTATAAACAGGATTCCATCATCATTCGCCGCGACGTGGAAAATCGTGTGCTTTTTACGACCAAGGTCGATGAAGCGTGTTGCTGGGACAGTCTCAGCCCCTTGCCATCCTGGGGGTTGACGGCCAGGGTACCACCTCCATCGCAAAGTGGTGACGGGAGATTTGCGTAGTCGATAAAGCCCGCGGCGTTTGCATTCTGGAGGGACTTCAATCAACACCGCAAAGTCTCGACGCCAGCATATAGGAGAAGAACGGTTATATCTATCGCTTGTGTACTCAAGCATGAGTGCTGACGTTGCGTGGCCCCTTTGCATCGCATCCAGTTGACAAACTGTACGCGTCAGCCATCTGGAGGAGGAAGCTGAACTTAAGGTCATGTTGTCCCCGTACTGTACTGCTTGCACTCCGTGTTGGAGAGTCTGTCCAGTGGAACAGCTGGCTCCACAGGTCCATTCAGAAGCCGAGTCTTGATACTTGCAAACCATTTCTGTGACATTTGTTGCCATTCCTTACTCACCCTCTCCAAGCGCACACGCTCAGGTGCTGGGAGATATGACCATATGATATAGATGACATCGAAATTCAAGGGGCCAGGTGTGTTGTCTGTTTTGAGCCGTTTAGCTTTAGCTACGAGCTCATCTTCACTGGTAGGCGTTCGCTTTTTCGTGGGATTCGTCATCCTCCACCTTCTTCCAGAGCCAACTAGTCGTTGTTGCCGAAGACAGAAGGAGCGATCGAATGTAAGTGGAAAGAACGATGCTGTCCTGATATCGATGGTGGGAAGAACGATCCTGTTCTGATACTGATATTGAAAAGCTGCAAAGGTTGAGTGAGAAGTTGCAGTGTTGATGGACAAGCAAGGAGTTGCATTGGGAAGAAGTAGGCTTCAGCTACAAATCCAGATAATAAGGACCTTCCTCACAAAAAGAAAGAAAGCCCCGTTGACCTTGAATACAGCATTGACTGCGAAATGCTGCTAGTGAAGCTGTCAAAGAATACTAAAGCAGGCACCAAGAACCACTTGCAGGTTTCATTACTCCATGACCCTTATTTTGTTACGTAGATATGCCAGAAAGACGAAGTTGTCTATGATATCTATAGCGCCATCCCATCGTGCAGGGTGCAGAAGACTTCTATAAACCAGGGGAATCACCAACAGGGAAGGGCTTTACGAGACGATATTGCAACTGCAGAGGTACTACCATCCATATATTCTGTAAAGACCTTAACCGATTAATATCTGAGATCGAACCATATTAGAAGCCTCCTAGACTCGCTTAAATGGTTCCATGTGGACCCGGAGTCATGGACCCAATCCACCATGAACCCTTGGCCAATGCAACAATGATGTAACCGCTCTTCAGCACAATGACTCTAAATAAGCTGGGAACCCCAGTCCAAATACCCTGCAAAAGCACCCCTCAAAAAACAAGCTCGCGCCAATGGCCGGCGGCTTCGTGCAGTATCATGAGCCCAGCAGTACACCTCCCGTTCCAATAGCCAGCTCCTTCAAGAATCCAAACTAATAACGCTACAGTCGTCCAAATTCTCGTGATAATCTCCTTCTTCCTCTTCCTCTCCCTGGCAGAATGGATCTCAGCCAAGATCATCCGCGCTGGCATAATCGGGCATATCGCGGTCGGCATCATCTACGGGCGCCCGCTCGCCGATATCCTTGATATCGAGTGGCAGCAGACATTCATCACGTTGGGGTATGTGGGGCTGATACTTATTATCTTTGAAGGTATGTCCGCTCGTCTTTATCGCAGCAGTGAATGTCGCGCTGATTTGTGCGTAGGAGGTCTCGGCGCACGCATCGACCTGCTCAAGCAGAACTTCATACTGAGTATGCTGGGCGCTGCGACGGGCGTGGCCTTTCCGATTGGGCTTTCGTACTTACTGCTCTATCTGGGGTTTGGGTTTGGGGCTGTCGAGACGTTTATTATTGGGGCTGCGCTGTCGGCTACTTCGCTTGGTATAGACTTCTTTCCTTTCCATCTGGATTGTTGGGTGAGTGTTGACGAGCGCAGGAACGACATTCGCTGTTATCTCTTCAGCCTCGAAGACAGTCGACCTGGGTCAAACGCGCGTTGGGTCCGTTCTTGTCAGCGCAGCCGTGATTGACGATGTGGTCGGTCTCGTCATGTCCAGGTACGCATACTCCTTCCCCTCAAAACACCACTAACCAGCCCACCAGCGTAATCTCCGACCTAGGCGAACTCAGCTCCGGCAACCACCACGTCAACCTGGGCTGGCTAATCGGCCGCCCAATCGTCGCCTCACTCGGGATGTCGATCGTCACCCCGCTGGTAACAAAGTACGTCTTCGCACCGCTCTTCCGGCGGTACATCGAGAACCACTTCGCGCGGTACGACCATATCTCCAACATCGTTCTCATGGCGCTCGTGCTGTGCGCGTTCATCGCTATCGCCGCGTACACGGGGACATCGATTCTCTTTGGCGCGTTCCTTGCTGGGACGTTTCTCACGTATATCCCCTCCAAGCACCCCGAGAGTCCGTTTGTGGTTATGAGTCGCGAGGAGGGCGAGAGGGAGGAACATAAGAGTCCGACCTTTGTGCATACGTTTGAGCGGTACCTGGTGGATGTGCAGAAGTACCTCATGGAGCCGCTGTTCTTTGCGAGTATTGGGTTTGCGATTCCGTTTGTGCAGCTTTGGACTGGGAGGAGGATTTGGAGGGGGGTTGTGTTTACGTTGTTGATGGTTTTTGCGAAGGTAGGGGATTGCTTTTGGAGTTGTGGATGCTTGCTGATGATGGTGTAGTTTGTCGTTGGGATGTGGGTGCCGCTTTGGCAGGCCGTATTCCGGTCAAAGTCTGACGAACCCCGACGGCCACCTCGGGCTACTCAGGACGCGAGGCGACAAAGAGACGAGGAGGTAGAGGCAGCATCGGGAACCGAGACGCTCAACGAGAAGCCAGCGAATGAAGGCAGAGTGACCACTTGGCTCTCCGGGCTTCTCCTCGGCTCAGCGATGGTCGCGCGAGGGGAGATCGGGCTGCTGATTATTGAAATCGGATACAATGAGACGTCGTATGTTAGCCAGGAGGGGTTCATCACGGGCGTCTGGGCTATCCTGCTCAACACGATTATTGGTCCTGTCAGCGTTGGGCTCCTGGTCAAGTTCTATGGGAAGCGGATTGGCGATGGGGAGTGGGGGTTACAACCTCAGGAGGCTCAGCCACCTGCAGGGTCGGTTGCGTGAGGTGCCATATACATAGGTAGGCATAAGAATCCGTGCTATAAACTTAGTGGTACTAGTAGCGCGTATGATCTTGACCTGGGGTATAGCTGGGCGGTACTAAGTATACCTGGCTAGGGTTGACTGAAAAGGCCCGTTTATGTTGTGAACGCCGCCCTGATTATGCTAGTTGACCTCTCCAAATATACATCGTGCAAGAAGTAGAGTGGTCTCGAGTGGGAACAAACTGATCGGGAACAGAGAATACGCGATGAGGAGCCTGGAGGTTGGCAATCGTTATGGATTCCTTGTGAGCTCATACCGGTAGGGATTTCTGCGCCCAGAGCAGCATAAGACTATGAACTTTGAAGAGACCAAGACGCAAGGCTGAAACTGCCAACTGTCAAGCAAGCAGCCAGCGTAGCACCGTCGGTCGGGCCTGTGGGAGCAAGTCCGCCCCTGGGTGACCATGACTGTCCACTAAGATCATTTTGCACAGCCCGTGTAACCAGCCTTTGGAGCCTGCTGGGATGGGGCGAAAGTATCTGCTCTAAGGTTAGAGCACAACATTGTCACAGGGGACGGTCCTGCAAATGCTCGTCATACCTACACTACACATCCCCATATTGCATGGCCATGTCCAATCTTCTCCATTCTCTGCTCACGAGGCTCGAACCTGGGCGAGTTATGAACTCCACGGATTAGATGGCCCAAAAATAGGCAGCCTAGCTAGGGGCCAGCCTGCCAGGGGAGCCCCCAATTGAAGGAGCGCCACGCTCGTATTTCCTTTTTCTTTGAGATTGCACTGCAGCCACTCCAAAGGCTGCATCACACGCATCACACAGCCAGAATCTGACACTGCCACCGCTTAACCTTTCCCTGGGAGCTTCTCGACTTCCCATTACTTATCTCCTTGCTCCAGCTCCTGCATCCCCAGCTCACCTTAGCTGCTGCTGATCGCCCAGATGCATCGACCCACGTCAAGATGTCAACGCAAGGGCAAACGAGAGGCCCGTCTCCGCGCTTCTACCGCCAGTACATCGACGAGAATGCCTCCTTGAGTGCAGCCCCGACGCCGGCGTCTACCCTGCCTTCAAATCGCCTCCCATCCCCCTCAGCTCCAACCCGCAACAACTCCATTGATTCCCAAGCTCAACCTTCACGACGTTCCCTAGATATCGCCTCTAGAGTGCTGGGAATCGGAAGCTCAGCGACCAACAACGCTGCTGTGGAAAGTGCGACTCCGCTGCTGAACACGCGCCCAACCCTGGCCCTCCACCTTCCCAACGGCCGCGTCCTCCCGATCATTAAACCGCCAACATCACCGGCCAGTTCGCGATCCCGAGTGTCCAGTCTTGGCCATAATAAAATCTTCAGTGCCGCTCAAAGAGGAGCTCACGGTCGCAGCGTCAGCGAAGCCATAATCCGCCCGACTACGCCCGTAACGATCGTCCACCCACCGCATCCCCCGTACCGCAACGCCAGCAGCGACCCTTTTCCTACCGAACCCATCTCCAGCCCGATCATAACCCTTCGAGAACCTTCTCCCCCGCCGCTCGGACCGGGATCGCCTTCGCAGGCCAATGTTCTGAATCGAACCAATAATATTGGTTTCACCGGGGAAAACTCGACCGCACCAGCTCCCACGGATGCCCCCACCCAAGGCTCGGAGACGAGGACAGTCGCCCTTGATGATAACCATACCACAGACCTGGAGCCCTCGCCGCCGGCCTCGCGATCTTCGTTGGAGGACCACGTTCGACGCACCGGTCGCAATTGCAATCACACGATCGACGTCCTTGCAGGCCGCTCAACGCAACTGGCCCTTCATGGCAAACCAAGCCCGCGCCCAGAGACCGAGATCCCAACGTCCGACGCAATACCAATCCAACAACCCCCTTCATCGCGCTCGTCCTTCGAGAGCACCAATAGTTCACGCACACGTAGTATAGACCTTGCAAGGACGAGCGATGTCCAGCGTCTGTACCACCGCGCATCCACGCAGTCTCTGCAGACGGTGAAGTCGATTTCCAGAACTTCCAAGGAGCCTTTATCATATAACAGCACCGAAGAAGCCGGTTTGTCGCTCGAGGGCCGATCTCATAGCCTTGACATCCCGAGGAGCTTTCTCCCGCGACTGAATCACCGTACATCGACCCAATCTCTCCAGATACCGTTGACCAAGCCAATCTATGATACGATGATCGTCAACAGGTTCACGCCGCTCAACTCACACCCGGTTTCTCCGATACCAGAACGAGCGTATACGCAGACCCCAAGCTGGATTGGAAATGATCTTCCGGATCTGGAGCCTGCTGTGCATCCTCGGCCGGATTGCTTGACTATAACGCCACCACCATCTGATATTACATCGCCGCCAATCCCTCCGAAAATACCGCTGGACACTGAGCAAGGGCCGTCAATTTCGCGCGATGCGGACTATCTGCCCCTGTTTCCCTCTCCGCCTCAAGCTTCCCGGCCGACTTGGATGGTGCATGACAAAACACCAGGTCCGGTGCATATCGTTGTACCTCCCATAGCACCCGAATATCTTGCATTTCCAGGGCCTGACTACCCGCTTCTACCTCCGCGCCCGCAAGCGCCAGGGCAGTGTGTGCTGCATACCAGGATTCCCAGTCCATCTCTACACATCACGCCTCCAATGCCGGACCATCCCCGTCCTTCTCAAGGACAACCCCATCGACCAACCCAAACTGCCTACGCCTCCGGGGCGAGCGCCCTGCGAGCCGCACCCACATCAGCATTCCATTCGCCTTCGATGCTCTCCTCACCCTCAAACCACTCGAACTCATCGAATTCAAGCGCAGCCTCAACAACATCAACATCAATACTTTCCCTACCGACGCCGCAATCACCACCGACCAGCACCCCCTCGCCAAAAGACATATCCAATTTACCACTCCCAGCACTTACATCCCACGTCCAGACCCAAATCTCGCAAGCCCGACACCTTTTCGACCTCGTATCCCACCGCCTCACACCAGGTGAAAATATCTGGATCAGCAAGACGATCTCCGACACCGAGGTCGCGATGCGTGAGATCCTGATTCTCACGGAAGGACTACGTATCGATCGGCAGACGAAGAAAGGCAAACTTGGTCTCAAGACGCAGTTGAAGTGGATGATGCGCGACTCACGGAAAGCGAAGGAGAAGCGCGAGAGGCTGGTCCTGTGCAATGCGAGTTTGGCTGGGGTGTTGGTGCGGCTGCGGGGCGTATATTCTACGCTTCAGGTTCAGGCCGGAAATGAGCTTGCCGAGCTTGAGGAGAAGGTTGAGGTTGAGATAGGGCGAGGGCCGTCGCACAGTGGAAATGACACCTGCAATGTGTATCCCTCTCAACGGCGGGCCTCTACTTTGCATTTAACAGAGCCGGAGAGTTCGCCCTGGGACCTGGCAGTGCAGCGGCAGGACGCCGGGATGGAGGTCGTTGTTGATGAGCCTGTGCAGTTGGAGGTGAAGGAGAATAGAACGCCCACCAGGTTCGGGGCGCAGAGTCCGACGCCCACGGTTTCCACTGCGGTTTCGGCGCAGGAGAGCATTGGGTCCGCTGCATCTGTCGCCACATTGGATACTGAGTTGCTGGATATGCTCTCCTGGCGCTGGGCGCAGGGGCGGACGATGTGATTTTCTTGCAGTATACCCGACCAGTGCATTTACTAAGATACCCTAAGCGGAGATAGTGTAGTATAATAGTGTAATATTTCCCCTTGTTCAAAACGATAAGAATCTTGCTCTCTAGATGGACGAATAACCCATGCTCCGTTTCTAAACGCAAGCAAACCTTCTATGTAGTAAATCTAAGCTTCCCCCCTGGCCGGAGCCGGATACAGTACCCTCTCGCCCTCAACGAGCTCAACCCACCCCTCAAGCCTGACCCCCCTCTCATCAACAGTCTTGTATACCCCCGGCATAACACTAAACGCGCCCCCGGATCGTTCCCAAACGATCTCAAACGTGCACGGCTGACCAAAGAGCCAAAGCCCCAGTTCCGACGCAGAATTTGCCAGAGTTGTAAGGTGCGCGGTTCGCTCTTCGGCCGTGAAGCTCGGGAAGCTGTAGGGGGTGAATGCGATTGTGAAGGCGGTTGCTAGGGACTCGGCGGTGGGGAGGGGAGTGCGTTCTTTGGATGCGGACGCGGAGTGCGTGTGGAGGTATGCTGTTAGCATGCGCCAGGTGAAGAGGGCGGAGTCTGTTGCTGAAGGAAGATAAGTCAGTACGACTGCAAACAGTCAATGAGGGTGGGCTATTCCCACATGAAGATGACTCTCTAATCTCCGGCTGCGCAGCGAAGACCCTGGGCAGAAGCGCGCCTGCTTCCGCCCCTTGCCCCTGAGCTCTTCCTACCGGCCGAATCGCGTATAACAATGTGTAGATTAGAGCGTGCGTGATAACCGGCCGCCGAATACTCCGCTGCCCCAACATCTTCCCAATCGCCGCAGGAAGATATCCCGAGTTATAACGCTCCAGTCTGGCAAGCGCATCATCCGAAAGATACGCCGGCGTCGACCCAGGCACGTAGTAATTGTCCACATGCAGCGCGACCTGATCGAAGAGGGTGAGGATGCGGGACCGCACGGTGTCCTCGTCGGCGGGCTGGGGCGTTATGCCCGCAATTAGGGTATCGAACCCGGTTGTGGTGTTGGGCGTCTGCTTCTCCTGGGCCAGCACGAGGCCGGGTTCTGAAACCGGGTCCGATGTCCAGATGGAGTTGCTTCCCAGGCCCCCGGCCTTTGATTGTTGTCTCTGGCGGTGTCGGATGAAGAGGATTGTCAGGAGGAGGGTGATGAGCGCGGTGGCCATGATGCTGCCGACAACTGCGCCGGCGAGGGCGCCGTTGCTGACGTTGTTGGAGTTGTGAGATCCGGAGGCGAGGCTGGGGGGTTGTTGCGTTTGCGTGCTTGTTGTCGATGCGTTCGAGGCAGAGCTGGCCATTGTCCCTGACGGTGCCCTTGTAGTGGATTCGGTCGTTGGGTCTGCATCGTCCATCGCTGACTGTCTCGCTGCGCCAGTGCCTCTGCTCGTGCTCGTGCTCGTGCTCATTTCCGGGTTCGCAGTCAAGGTGCTCGAGACGGTCGACACCCGAAAACCTCCCGCGACAGCTGCGTCCGAAATGCTTGTCGTATAGAGATCGACCGTTGCGCCCCCGGGTTCGGGAAACGTGATTCTCGTCGTCGCTGGGGCGGTGGTGGTGTCGGTGCCAAATATCGTCTCGGCGGGCGCGAAGGCCGGGATGGTATCGCCTGGAACAAGGCCCTGATAGTAGCCTGATCTTGTAGTCCGCGTGGACATGGTCAAGATTCAAGATAGATGAGAACTGTGGAGAGTGGAGAGTGCAGGTGCGAGGCTGAGGAAAGAGCAAACGGGCACATCGCGCACCTGAAATTCAGGAGAGCAGGCGAACACGAGCGGCTCAAACAACAAAGCGCCATTATTGAACAGCCAGACCAGCATCTCCATAAATACGAGCTGAAGCGACGCTCTGGGCAAGGCTTAACCTAAATTCAAGACCCTGGGTCCCAGGAACAGAGGCCATTGGACAAGCCCTAACACCAACACGATCCTCGTTCTGGCGTCGATTCGATTGGATCATGAGGAAAACAAAGTGTGCTTTGCCTGAACTGCACGCGAGAGGCTGGCCTATCATGCCCCCTGACATTAGCCCCTTTGTCTTTCTGGGCTGGCCTGGTCTTCATGGGCGAGGCTAGAATCTTGCGGCGCAGGCCCTGCGCATTGGCCTGGCTGATCTTAAGCCTGGTGTCACCCTCCTCTGGCACCATTCGCGTCGCGACAAAGAGCACAGCGCGTCAAGACCCCAGTTTGCGTATACCAGCCGCTTGCGGCAGATGCACGCTCGATGGCCAACTGGGAGGAGCAGCGATTCCCGGATATCGTGGTGGGCATTGATTTTGGCATGACGTGCACTGGTACCCCTTTAACGCCTAATCATCCCACTCCTTTAAGATCCATCAGGCTAATCGCTCCACGTCTTATGTAGGAGTCGCATACAGCATCGGCCCAGAATGGGGCCCCCCAAAAACAATCCAGCGCTGGCCGGGCAAACTAATCGGCGAACTTGCGAACAAAGTCCCGACATCGCTCCTCTACGCCGCCGATAACCAAACCGTCCAAGAATGGGGATTTGGATGCGATGAGAGGATCGCGGATGCAGGTGATATCAAGGAGTTCTTCAAGCTCCATCTCGCCTCGCACCCCGAAGGCGACGGACCCGGAAACGAACGCATAACGCAGCAGGACGCCCGCCGCTGGTTCCGGGATTATATTACTTGCATTTACAGGCAGGTCGTGTCGCATTTCAGCACGAGTATACCGGGGTTTGGGCGCATGCGGGTGGAATTCATATTTAGTGTGCCGACGACGTGGAAGGATGTAAGAATGGTCGAGGAGATACGGGGGCTCCTTGATCGCGCTATTGCGAGCGGAGCGTCGAATGGGAAGCACTGGGCGGTTATTGGGCTTACGGAGGCTGAGGCTGCGGCGGTTTATGCTTGTCGCGACTATTATCAGCCGGATGATGTTGTGCTGGTTTGTGATTCGGGGGGTGGGACGACGGTATGGCTGCCCTGGCTTGGATAGCGAAATAGGTATTGGGTCGATCGCTGACGATGACACTGTAGGACGTCAATGTCTTACGGCTCGCATCAGGCCGCGGAGAACCTTTACGGCTCGAGCAACTGGGCAACGTCGAAGGGCGTCCCATCGGCTCTGTCTTCATCGACCGCGCTGTACACCACTACATCGCCGAGCGGCTGTCAAAACTCACGGACGGCGACGAGCTAACACAGCCGCCCGATCTTGTCGCGTGGGCAATGTTAACGGGCAAGTGGCAGCGTTTAAAATGTGCTTTTGGCACTGAGGCAGCGCGGACGCCGAACCTTAGTCTTGAGGTTCCATGTTTGAAGGCTGGTGTGAAGGATCTTCCGATCGCGGGGATTTATGATGGGCAGATGAGGATTCCTTGGTATGATTGATTGGTCGATGTATAACAGGGGTTGCTAAGGTGCAGGTAGGGACTATGTGAAGCGCGCGTTCGATATCAAAGTCATGGAGATGTGCAGCCTGCTGGACGGGCAGATTCAGATGATGGATGAGAAATATCCTCGAAATCGGATAGTCAGCGCACCTTCCATTTTACAATTGATCCATCTGACAATGACAGTCATACCTCGTCCTCTCAGGCGGCTTCGGCAGCTCGCCTTATGTCCGCGAATGCCTGCACCACCGATACGCCCTCCCCGGCGTGGCAAAGCACCCGAATGTCCTCGGACTACAAGTCCTCCTAGCAGAAGAGCCGTACGCCTCGTCATCCCAATTGCCATCAGACACTAACAAGTCCAGCCAACTCGCCGTCGTCCACGGCCTCGTCCTCGACCGCATCCAACAACTCAAGAAAGGCGTCGTGATGTTCGGATCGCGCTGCTCCCCCGTCAGCTACGGCATCATCTGCGACGTGATCTACGACCCAGTAAAACACCTCGGCGAGCCCGTCCGCCGAGATCCGCGAGACGATAACCTCTACGCCATTAACCAGGTCGAATGGCTTATCATCCAGGTACTCCATCACCTTCCATAGCTACCTAAGTATCCGGCGCTGATGACGAGCTTACAATACCACAGGGCGACGCAATCCCCCACACCGGCATATCAAAAGACTTCCAACTGAAGATCAAACCAGGCGAAGAACATCTCCCCTGGAAAGTGCACATCGTGATGTCCACGGCGCCGCGGTACAGGCTCCCCAAGAGCATGGCGTCCGGCACGGGCACCGTCAGCGGGGAGTGCGTGCAGCATGTTTGCAGCCTGGATATCATTACCGACGACGTTGACCGCAAGTTGAAGAATCGACGCTGGTACAATATGCGGCCGCGGTATTGGCGCGCTGTCTTTGATGTGCGTGTTGTTGTTGGGGCGGCGGATCTGACGTTTCAGCTTTGGAGCAGAGAGAAGAGGATTAGGTCGCAGGGGCATGAGCCTATTAAGGTGCAGTGGATGCCGGCGAGTCCGCGGGGTGGGGAGGGGAGTGAGATTGGGAGTTGGTGATGGTGGAGTTACCCATGGCTGTATTTGAGATTTAGATCCATAGATCATTCGAGAGCAAGTCACGGCAAAATAGACAAGCTATACACGGTGGAGATAAACATAGATTCGATAAAGGGTATAGCGAATAGTAAACAACAACAAAAGAAACCCAGCCCAGCCCATCACCACGACTCCCTCCCCGGACTCTCAACACTATGCCCAAGGCCCTCCCCCCTGGCCCCATACTCAACGACAACATTATCCGTCCTCCGTATCGCGCCCATCGGGTGCCCGCCCCCCTCATCCCTAAGTATACTCTCCTGGCTCTCGACGCCCGTAATCGTAAGGTCCGTCTTGCGCGCCGACTTATTCATCTTGCTCTGGCTGCGCGAGTGCGAGTAGTCGTGCAGCTGCTGCGACCCCTTGTATTTGTTCTTGCTGCCGCTGTACGAGGACAGCTTGCGCTTGCCGAGGATGAGTTCGAGGACCGGCTGCAGGGTTGGGATGCACGAGGCGATGATCACGACGTCGGACTCGACGTTTGTCCACAGGACCAGGTCGGCGGTTCCGTCTGTTTCCGGGGAGGGTGTTAGTTAGCCCTGGAGTAAGGGTTGTTTTATGGGGAGGGTTGAGGGACGGACGTACACGTGTAGTCGTTTTTGTCGGCGAGGCCTTTTACCTGTGTGCATTTTACGACGGCCATTGCGGAGGCGCTGATTCGTTAGCTTTGTTGTTCAAGATGGGGATGGAGGGTGGTGATGGTTGGTGCTTACATCGCGCCCAGGCCTAGAGCGGCGCAGAGGGCCATTCGCTTGCGCAGCGACATGTGGAGTTTCATGAGGACGAAGGCGGGATAGATCGCGAGGTAGAGGTCGATGAATGCAGAGTACGCTGGGAAGTTAGCGGGTGTCAGTGGTACTAGGTTGCCCAGATATGATTGAGTACTTACCTCCGGTGAAGATGGCATAGTTAATCAGAATCCAGGTATCCCGACACGTAGCCTTCCCTTCCGCGACCAGTGTAGTGTGCCAGAGCGCATGCGCGGGATCGCACATGGTAAAGAGGATGATGATGCAGATTCCAGATATAACAGCGCCCAGACCTGTCAAGCCCCATATCGCCGCTTTCTGCACGAGACTGGGGTTGAGGATGCGGTTGAGCATGGCGGCGACGGCGAGCTTCGGTACGGAGAAGGAGACGATGCCGAAGAGGAAGCTCAGCGTGTTCAGAAAGGTGGCTTCCTCGACTGTCGACGTATCGAGGACGTATGCATGTTTGCCGTATCCGATCGCGATGTTGGCTGTTGTTATGGCGCAGTACACGATGCCCATCATCTGTCTCGTCAGCATTCATGAGATGACAGGGGCAAAGTGAGTATACCATTGAAAACGCAATCAGCCAGTCATCTGGCCCGAAGTTGCGCAGCATCTTCCCTCGGATGAACATGCGGGCGGCGACAATCACCATTGTAAAGCCCGTCAGGCCCCAGAGGACCGCAAGGATCTTGGGGCCCTTGTCATCGCTGGGGTTTCCAAGATGCACGGTAGAACTCATTCTGCAAGCAGTATGGCACCAGTTCCAGGTCCGGAGAGTTGGGACGTGGTGAGATCGATCGGGAACCTACGCAATATACGTCTGCAGAATTGCAGGGGTAAGGTAAGCTACCCCTGTTGCAGAGTCGTCTTCAGCAATCCTGCATTGACCTGGTAACTGACACGTCCAGCCCCAAACTCCTGACGGTGGCACTGACCAGTCAACCTGTTCGTGTGGGCACTGGGCACTGAACAAAGTCCCAGAAAAGATATGCAGGATATGCACACGGGCCAGAAGCTGAGCTGGATCAGCACACGCCAAGTGCTAACCCGCATCCTGGCGCTGGTCCACCTGCCTCGTATGGCGCTGAAGAAACCAGCAGATGGGTCGGTGGAGCCAGGACGGCTTGTTGGAGAAGGACCGGGCCTCAACGGTTGACAGCGGTTTGTGGGGCCGCGGCCAGAGCTCGGGGTGATTGGCAGGCTGATGGGCTTGCCATGGCCTTTATATTGTTCCCACTTTGCTGGTGCCCAATCTTGACTCGGGACGTTTAGTTTCGCACCTTCGCTCGACGCTGAGGAGGAGACGGCGCCAGGGGCCAAACCTGAAATTGCCGAATTGAACCGTTTTCAAACGTCCATTGCGGCAAATGCGCCCCCGTGGTATTCCAATTGGACAGAAAGCAGACAAGCAGTTCGGTGATTTCTATCCGGAACTTCCGTGTCTCCCATGTACGCCAGTGGCTTGCATGACTCGCCCAGGAACTCGGGTCATTTACAGGGGTCGAATCCTGCAGAGCCAAATCTGCACGACTTGATGACAATCCGAATTTCTGTCCCTGGGAATGCGACGCGTGGAAGACCCTCGGCCGGAAGGGCTGCCAGACAAGAACGACTGGATAGCTTTAGCTGGCAGGTGCCCTCCGTCCCAACGCAGCGAAGTGACGAGTAGGCTCCATCAGCAATACACGCTAACGACGGTGCATTTATCCGTCGCAAGCGTTGCTATCTTTGTACGGCTGATGAAGATCGCCGCGTAACGGTCGCGCTGCAGCACCCTAGCCTGCTAGCGCTCCTTCAGCGCAGTGTGCTGCCAAAGTCGGCCCGTCTGGACAAGGGATAAACGGTTAGCTGGGAGCAATTGTGGGTATGAATGGCTTGACGAATCTCCCCACCCGTTGACATTGCCATGGCATCAACGGCGCTGTAACGGTTGGCCCATGAGCGGCGATAGCGTACCGTGTGCAAGGTCTTCTCCATCTTCTACTCCGCAGCATATCCCGGCTCTCAGGGGAACCGAGGGACCGGGCAATCGTTCGTTATAATTGCTTGTTGCAGGCATTGACCATGCCTTTTCCAATCCCGCTCCCCCTTTCATTTCATCCCTAATCACTCTTTCCAACTTTTTCTTCGAGATACATCGACCCTTACAATGGCACCAACTGCTCAGACTCAGAGTGACAATGTCACCGTGACCACCAAGACAGATGCCACTGTCCAGACCCAGGAGATTGGCACCGGCAGCAGCTCTCCAGTTGACGGCGTCCGCGCCCCAGATGCTTTCGACAATGACATTGCTATCCGTCCCAATGCGCCTGAAGACCTTCCCGACCTCTTGAGCAAAGTCAGCAAGCTCGGCGCATCATACGAAGAGACAAAGGACGAGGATATCCGCGCCGAGTACCTGGATGCCGCCCGGCACCTGGTTTACTCACTCGAAACTCCTCGCGAGGCCATGATCCGGTACTGCTGGTCTCAGGTACATATCTTCCATACCATACCCTGATCCCGTCTAATGTACGCAGAGCACACTCTACGCCGCCATTGAAACATGCGTCAACCTTGGCGTCTTCGTTATTTTGTCCAAGGACGACACTCCCAAGACTGTCGATGAGCTTGCCAAAGCTACGAATGCAGACGTTCTCCTTATCTGTATGCTACCCGGTCATCATGCTCGTTCACTGCTAACCAGCAAGCCCGCCTCCTCAAACACCTCTCCACCATGGGCGTCATCGTTGAAACCGCCGAAGACACCTACCGCCGCAACGGCTTCTCTACATCCCTCAGCAACAAGCGCTACAGCGACGCCTACCCCTGCATGTACGTTTCTACCACAACCCCTTAGAACCATCTAACACCGCCCAGGACAAACTGCATCACATTCGGCCTCACTAGCCTCCCCTCCTTCCTCCAGAAAACAAACTACGCCAACCCCACCGACGGCTGCCACTCCGCATTCCAAGACGGCTACCGCACCGACAAGCACTTCTTCGAGTTCCTCAAGGACCACCCCACCTACGGCGAGGAGTTCAACAACCACATGACAGCCTACCACCAGGGCCGACCCAGCTGGATGGACGAGGGCTTCTACCCGGTGCCGTCGCTGACGGAGGGGCTGAACCTCGGCCCCGAGGACGTCCTCCTCGTCGACGTCGGCGGCAACGTCGGCCACGACCTCACCGAGTTCCGCCGCAAGTGGCCCAACATTCCCGGCCGCCTCATCCTCCAGGATCTGCCCGCGGTCATTGCCCAGGCGAAGTGGCAGAACGAGGCTACGCAGAAGGCCATTGAGCCGATGGGTCATGACTTCTTTTCTGAGCAGCCTGTTAAGGGTGCGTACCTTCCTTGTCTTTGTCTAGTTTACACCGGCTAATGATCCTTTAGGCGCACGGGCCTACTACATGCACTCAGTCCTGCACGACTGGGCGGACGCCGACTGCCGCCGGATTCTCTCGAATCTCGTCCCCGCCATGAAGCGCGGATACAGCAAGATCCTGATCAACGAGAACGTGATACCCTCCACGAACGCGTACTGGGAGACGACGAGCCTGGATATCATTATGATGGCGGACTTTGCGTCGCAGGAGCGCACGGAGAAGCAGTGGCGCGAGCTGACGGCGTCGGTTGGGTTGAAGATCGTCAAGATTTGGACGAGACGACGGGGCGTGGAGAGTTTGATTGAGTGTGAGCTTGCTTAGTGTTGAGTACATATCGGGCTTGATAATCAGTCCTGCGATATATTTCATTGATCCAAACTGCACAAACACAAATATTAGGCTAAGGATGAATTAACTGTTTCCAAATAATACCATAGTTTACTCATCTCTTCTTCGCACCATCAACATCCGGAACCCTCCACCCATTAAGGAACCCAACCCCAAAATTCAAATAAGCCGCATAAGAAAGCCACGCCGCATACGGCGCAAAAAGCCAGAACCCCCCGCGATCAGCCACGAAAAGCTCCCGCATCATCGCGCCCACCGTCCCACCAAGAAGCACCATATCCACCGCCGCGAGAACCGGCTTGCGCGCCCCGAAAAACAGCGGCATCCAGAGGTGGTTGAGGACCAGCTGCGCGGTGTACAGGCTCTGCAGGACGGTTGTTTCCGGCTCGAGCGTGTGCGTTGTGAAGTGGTATGACGCGTACCCCGTTAGGCCGTAGAGGAGCGTCCAGACGGGCGGGAAGAGCCAGGGGGGTGGGCTGCCCGGGGGTTGGCGCAGGGTGTGGTATTTTGGTTTTGTGCCGTGGCCTGGATCGCGCGTGTTAGTATTCTTCACTGGATGAACTGGGATGCTTTTGCGGAGAGAATGGGGTTAAGCTGGAGGGGACGCACGGTTCACGAGATAGCCCACTGTCGAGCCCGTTGCGATGGGCGTTAGGGTTGCGAGGAGCGGCGAGGCAAAGATTGCCTGTGGGAGGACGAAGGACCAGGGCATTTTGGCTGGTGATTAGGGGGTGTTCGATTGATGTCTGGGGGAGAGAAAGGTGGCAGTTTGGTTTTATCCGACCGGAGGAGAGATGACGTCATCGGGACGTCGCGGCAAGGGACGGGCCAGACCGGCCGGGCGAGCCGCAGTCACATGATCTGCTCTATATTTAACCTATGCTATAGATCGCTGGAAGCAGCGTAGATATATTTCATGCCTTTGTACATGGTTCTAAGAAGAAAGAAAATAATGAAAATCGTCCTAGACACTGACACTTACGATCCTTTCCTCAATCGCATCGCTCCTTGTGGCGTAAAGCAGTACAATTGATGATCAATCAAGGGCAGAGGCATTTAAAGGTTAGTTCTGCGTAACAAGGCTCAACCAATTTTCTTTTGATACTGTACCAGGAGTAGCCAGTAACTGGGCTCTTTCTACTGGGCCAATTCTGTACACCGTAAAACGTCCTCGATCAAGCGATTGAAGAATCGAGGTCAGAGGCCTTAACGAGCTACCGATGTCCGGACCAGATCGTCTAACCCGTTGAGCTTGATTGGCGTCTAACGTTCTGAAGATAAAAGAAAAGCAATAAGAGATCACAGATTGATTGGTTTGCCCCTTTGCTGGGTAAAAGCGTGATGACAGATTCTTGGGGAAGCCTATGAGGCGGCAAAGGCGATTTTACTAGCTCGGTACAACCGACGTGTCTCTTGGAGTGATAATTGCGCGTGGCCGAAACGAAGTGGAGGCCAAAGCGCATGATAATCGTAGGTCCCGGCTCCCAGTCACGTGAGCTTTATTAGTGTCAGGGCCAACGTTTTTCCGTTCGACGTCACCGGAGCCAATCCACCGTTGGTCTGGAGTTGGCGCCTTAGGTAACCTAAGCTTTGGCCTTAGGCCGCCAAGGCTTGGCATACCTTATTATTATATTAAGCTATATAACTTAACTAGGTTATTAATATTTAGGGTTTTAGCTACTAGTTAAGCAAGGCTAGGGTAGGCCTTAAATATAAGCTAAAGTAAAAACCTATATATAAAGTATTTAAACCTATATTTACTTTTTAATTAAGAATAGCTTAAGCATAGCTTAAAAGTTTATAAAGGTAGCTTTAAAGCCAGCCTTTTTTAAAATTTTTAAGTAACTTTTTTAGTATTATTTAACAGGGTTTAAAATACTTTATTTTTATTAGTTAAATTTTTTTATTAATATTTTTATTATTAATAAAAATTTTTAAAACTTATTAATCTTATAGTTAAAGTTGCTTGCACCTACTACTTTTTAAATTTTTTTAATAATAATATTTTAAATTAAATTTTTAAAGGGTAAGTAAAGGTAGTCCACAGGCATTTTAATTAAGGTTTTTAAAATCTAAACTTAAATAATTAAAAAAGTATCCCCTTTTTTATTTATACTTAAGGATCCTATTACTATTAAAAATAATTAAAAAAAAAACTTAATTTAAATAATTTAGTTTACTAGCTTAGTAAAGCACAGGGTAAAATACACCCTTTACCTTGTTATTTTATATTATTATTAAAGTTTATTAATTTAAAATTTATTATAACTAAAGCTATTTTAAAGGGGGAGTAGCCTAGGACTATAACTCCTAGCTTATTTATTTTTTAATTTTAATATAATTAGTATTATATATTAAAATTAAAATATTTTTTAAAAAAAAATAAGGAAAAGTTACCCCTATAACCTAAAGCTAAAATAATATTAAATTATTAATTTTTATATTAATTTTTTTATTAATCCCCATGCTAAACTTCTTATTAATATTTTTAGTAAGCTTTAAAAAAAATTAATTTTAATAATCCTTTTAATTTTAATTTAAAGTTAAGCTTAAATAATTTAAGCTATTATTTTAAAGCTATTTTATTTTTAAAACCCAGTGCTAGTAACACTAGCTTTAAAAGGTTTAGTAATTTTAAATATATATAAAAAAGGTACTAAAAGGTTATTAAAAATTATAAGCTTTATTATAAAAAAAAAAGGCTTTTTAGGAGCCTAAGATTAAGTTTAAAAAGGTTAAAAAGTTAAAAGGGAAAAATATAATAAAGCTTAAAATTTAGTTTAAAAATTTAAAAAACTATTTTTACAACGCCTTTAAAAAATTTTAAATAAATAATAAAAAAATTATATTTATTATTTAAAACGCTTTAAAAGATGCCCGTAATTATTAAAAAGGTTAAGTTAAACTTTAAAATAACAAGTAAACCTAGGCAAATTTTAAAAAATTTATATACATATGGGTTAACCTAGTTACAGACTAGGGCCACCGCGCCGCCTAGTGTTTTTTAACCAAATAATAAGGCACTTAAAATACCACTTCCTAGGGACTCTGCTTTATAGAGTTGGGCCCGCACTTCAATAATCCAGACTATGCTTAAAGTGGATACAGCGGCAATCCATATAGAGTCTATTAATAAGCGCAACAAGGCCTTAAAGGCTAAGGAGGAGAAGAAGTCCGGAGCTGGTTCTAACTTTAAAAATAAAAAAAATAAGAATAACTTAAAATAGAACTAGAACGGCAGTAAAGCGGCTTTTTTAAAAAAAAAAAAAGGGAAAAAAAAGTAAGAAAAAAAGCAGTAACTTACTTTTTTAAAAAAAAAAAAAAAGTACTGCAAGAAAAAGGGCCTTTATTTTAATTATAGTAAATTAAGCCACTTATTAAAGGCTTGTCTAAATAAAAAAAAACCTAAAAAAAAACTAGTAAAAAATAAATAATAATCCCCTGGCCCTAAGTTATTAAAGTTATATAATTTAAAAAAAAAGACTGCTTTTCCTATTCTTATAAATCTTAGAATATAAAAAAATAGGGTAAATTAATAGTTTAAGGCACTACTTAATACTAGGGCTAATACTAATTTTATTTTAGTTTAATATTTATAAAAGCAAGGTATTAAAATAAATATTAACCGCATGGTATAGCTAGTTTAGTATATTAATAATACCTTTACTTTTTACTACAGGCGTTTGCAAGCCCGTACTTAGGTTTAAAATTTAAAAAAAGTTATAAAAATATTTAATTTAGTATATTATATTATTAATCTTATTTATAAAAATTATTAAGCAGTCCTAAAATATCCCTAAATAATTAAAGTAGATCTAAACCTTTACCTTATTATAATAAAATAGACCTAGTAAAACTATACACCTTTTATTAAAATTAAAATACTATAAAAATTTATAAAAACTATGCGCAAGAAACCAGTACTTATAGTACTTTATTAACTAAAAAAAACTAAAAAAAAAATAAAGGTGGTCCTGCCACTTTAATATATTTATTAAAGTAAAGTTTTTTTTAAATAAAAAGCTACTTAACTTTTAACTAGTAAAGTAAAGCATAAAATCTTATTAAAAAAAGGTAAGAAGCCTTTATAAGGTTTTATTTATAGTTTTTTTTAGTATAAGTTATAAATATTAAAAAAGTATCTTAATAAAATACTTAAAAAAAAATAAATTAAGTTATCTTAAAGTAGTGCCGGAGCGCTAGTACTTTTTATTTAAAAACTTAATAAATTTTTATATTTTTATATTAACTACCGTGGTTTAAATATAATAACTAACAAGAATTATTATTTATTACCATGTATTAACAAGCTAATAAATTAGCTAGTAAATATAAGATATTTTACCAAGCTAGATTTACATAACATGTATTATAGGATATAAATTAAAAGAAAAAATAAATAAAAAATAATATTCTAGACCTATTATAGTTACTATAAGTATATAGTTATATCTTTTGGCTTAATAAATATACTAGCTATATTTTAATCTTATATAAATATAGCTATAAGCAGGATTTTTAATAAGTTTTATATTATTTACCTTAATAATATTCTTATTTTTTTAAAAATAAAAAAGAAACATATACACCATGTTTAGGAAGTTCTTAATTAATTAAAAAGGCATAATTTATATAYAAAATTATTAAAATATAGTTTTTATAAAAAGAAGGTAAAGTTTTTAGGCTTTATTATTAAATAAAAAAAAATATTTATTAATTTAAACCGTAGCTAAACCATTATTAATTAGCTAAAATTAATATTATTTTATAAGTTATAAGTTTTTTTAGGCTTTATAAACTATTTTTAATACTTTATTTTTAGCTATATTAAAGTAATGTGTTTAATAACCTAGCTCTTGGTAGGAATAATAAAAAAATATAAAAGTAGGCCTTTTTTATTTCCTACTAATGTAAAAAACATATTTAAAAAAATTAAGTTAAACTTTACCAGGCCGCTAGTACTACAGCATTTTAATTTTAAAAAAAAAATTTTTATTATTACTAATATATTAAGGTTTATTATTACTAGGATTATTACGCAGCTAAAGCAAGAAAAATTACCTAGTAAAAAAAAATAGGACTAATAATACCCTGTGGCCTTTTATTTTTATTAGCTATATAAATTAAAGCTTTATTATAAGGTTTATAATTAAAAACTACTCGCGGTAGTTAAGTACTTTAAAAAGTGGTATTACTATTTTAAGGGCTTTTTATACCTTATACACGTGTAATATAATTATAATAACCTACGCTATTTTTTTATAATAAAGGTCTTAAATTAAAGGCAGGTATAATAAGTAAAATTACTCGCGGCTTATAACTTTAAAATAAAGTATAAGCTAGGTAAGTATAATTTAGTAAATATATTATTATAGTAATTAAATTATATAATAAAAAATAAAAAGTATTAAGTTAGGATGCTCCTTACTTTATAAAAAAAGTTAAGTTTATCCCCCTAATAAATTACTACTAAAATAATATTAAAAAAACTAGCTATTTTTTCGCGCGGTCAGGCTTGTAAGTACCTAAAATTTTTAAGTCTTAAAATATTTATTATAAAGGTAGCAAGTAAAAAAAAAACCACTAAATTAATTATAAATACCTTTTAATAATAATTAATTATAGCCTAACAAGAAAATACTCTTGTAAGCTAATTATAATAATAGCTTAAAAGTATAATTTTTATTAATTTAAGGCAGGCCTTTTTTATTATTAAATAATATAAGAAAAAAAAACTTTTTTTTTATAAAGGTATTATTTATATACCTCCCGTGCCCGTGTTATAATATAAAATTATAAAATAATATTATAATAATTTTTATGCAGGCTATTTTAACTATAAAAAAATTATTAAATTACTTACCCGTAAGTTTTAGTAGGAAAAGCTTAATAAAAATACACGTGTGTATATTAAAAAATATTTCTTATATTAAAGGTTTAAGGTTTTAAAATAGCTATCTTAGGGAAGTTTAATATCTTTTTTAGTACTAAATATATTATAAAGGGATATTTTTATAAACTTTATTATTAACCTACCTTTATTAAAGTATAAAGGGCGTGTTTTTAATATAATTTTAATAGTTATAAATTAGTTTAGTAAAAAAGTAAAATATTTTTTTATTACTAATAAGATTACTGCGGAGAAGTTGGTAAACCTATTTATTAAAAAAATTATATATAATATAGGGTTGCCCCGGAGCATAATAATAAATTAAGGTTTATTTTTTATTTTAAAGTATTAAATAGCCTTTTATTAAGCACTATGTATTAAGCAATAACTTAGTATAATATATTATTTTTAATTAAATAGTTAAATAAAGCACTAGAACCAGATGCTTAAGGCATATTTATATATATATTATAATTATTAGTAAAGTAATTAGGTATTATACTTACCACTAGCACGCTTTACCTATAATAACTTAAAAAATAACTTAACTAGCTACGCTTTGCTTATAACAAGTTATAAATAGGAACTAGTAATTCCTAGGCTTAAAAACCTAAAAAAATTAATATTYTATTTTTTTATTAAAAAGCGCTTATATTATTTAAAATAGCTTTATAAGAACTTATAAGATTATATAAATAAGGCGTAAAAAAAGCAAGCGCTTTACCATAAT